TACCAGCCCCCCTGGCAGGACCTGTTTTGCCCTCCCGTTTTCTGATTTTGTAAAAGAAAAAATCTGAGGGGGTAGGGGGAAAGGGGGAGAAATGACCCAAACATTGTATGCACATATGAGTAATAGAAAAAAAGAAAAAAAATTTTGTTTAAGATAGCTACACAGGTAGTTTCCTTGTGGCATTTCCATGTATATATGTATTATAGCCTGAATTGGTTCATCTCCTCTATTTTTCTTCTTTTTACCTTAGTCCCTTCTTATAGTGGTTTCAATAGGTTTAAAAGTTCTATATTCATTCTTGTATAGAGAGTACATCAACCATATTCGCTTTCTTTACTTTCTTTTTTACCTTCCCTCTCTTGTGTGTGACTTCCCTTTAGTATGACCTCTTTTTCATAATATTACTATATTTGTATTAGGTCTGTTTTCCACATATGAGAGAAAACATGTGACTTTTAGCCTTCTGAACCTGGTTAACTTCACTTAAAATGATGTTCTCCAGTTCCATCCATTTACCTGCAAATGACAAAATTTCATTCTTCTTTGTGGCTGAATAAAATTCTACTGTATATAAATACCATATTTTCTTATTCATCAATAGTAAGGCATCTCAGCTCTTTCGATAGCTTAGCTTTTGTGAAAAATACTGCAATAAACAGGGGTGTGCAGGTGCCTTTATTATAACCTGACTTACATTCCTTTGAGCATATCCCTAGGAGTGAAATTACTGGATCATACAGCAGTTCTATTTTTAGTTTTTTGTGGAGCCTCCATATTGTTTTCCATAATGGTTGTACTAGTTTACATTTCCTCCAGCAGTTTTATGAGGGTACATTTTTCCCCATAGCCTCACCAACATTTGTTGTTTCTGTTCTTGATTGGTAGCCATTCTAACAGGAGTGAGGTGGTCTTAACGTGGTTTTGATTTTCATTTTCCTTTATGGGCAGGGATATTGAGCATTTCGTCATGTGTTTTTTAGCCATTTGGATTTCTTCCTTTGAAAAAGCTCTGTTCAGTTCATTTGCCCATTTCTAATTGGGTAATTGATTTTATAGGAGTTTAGACTTTTGAGCTCCCTTTATATTCTGGTTATCAATCCTTGTCAAATGTATACATTCTGCTCTTTCCTGCACTAGCTTCAAAGTTTCAGGCCTAATATTAAGGTCCTTAATCCACTTTGAGTTGATACTTGTACAGGGTAAAAGATCTAGTTTCAGTTTTTTGCATGCAGACATCCAGTTTTTCTGGGAACATTTGTTGAAGAGGTTATCGTTTCTCCATGGTGTGTTTTTGGTGCTTTTGTAAAAAATCCAGTCTGAGTCTTCTATTCATATCTGGGTCTTCTGTTCTGTTCCACTGGTCTTCATATCTGTTTTGTGCAAGTACCATGCTGTTTTTAGTGCTGTGGCTCTGTACTATCGTTTGAAGGTGGGTATTTTGATACATCCAGCGTGGCTCTTTTTGTTCAGTATTGGCTATTTGTGGTCTTTTGTGTTTTCAAATGACCTGAAGGGTTGATTTTTCAATCTCTGTGATGAATGTAATTGGAATTGCATTGCATTAAACATCTAGATTGCTTTTCATAATATAGCCATTTTCATTATGTCGATTCTACCAATCCATGAGCATGGGAGATCTTTCCATCTTCTGTAGTCTTCTTTGATTTTTTCTTCAATGGTTTATAGTTTTTCTTGTAGAATTCTTTCACATCCTTTGTTAAGTTTATTCCTAAGTATTTTACTTTTTTGAGAATATTATAAATGTAATCATTTTCCTATATTCCTTCTCATTCTGTTCATTGTTGGTGTATAGAAAGGTTACTGATTTTTATAAATGGATTTTATATCCTGCTACCTTGCTGAAGCTGTTTATGGTATCCAGGAGTTTTTTCGTGAGTTTTTCAAGTCTTTTAATTATAAGATATGTCTTCTGCAAATAGGGATAGTTTGACTACTTTCTTTCCAAATTGTATTCCTTTTATTTCTTCTTCCTGTCTTATTGTTCTGGCTAGGAATTCCTAGACTATATTGAATAATAGAAGAGAGTGGAAACCCTTGTGTCATTCCTGACTTTACAGGAAATGTTTTCAGCTTTTCCCCAGTTAGTATTATGTTGGCTGTAGGCTTGTCATATATAGTCTATTATGTTGAGGTATATTCCTTCTATTCCTAGTAGAAACTCGAATGTTTAATTTGTACATTTAAGTGACTTGTCTGGAGACTACCTTGGCCTATGGTACATTGCCTTCCAGGGCTGCATAACAGCTCAGTGAGGTGGAGCATGTGCTCTTGTTTGTAAACATGTGAGGACACTGATGTTGGAAGAAGCAAACTGACTTACCTAACGCCCCAGTCTTAGGTGGAGTAGGGCTGTGAATCATGTCTCTCACAGGAATTATGTATATTAAAACAGAAGTATGTGCAAACTAAAGTTTGCTCATTTAACCCACTTACGTATTTGCTTTCTTCTGAAATAGCTTTCATTTCTAACTAATTTACTATGACATGTGGGAGTGGTAGCTGCACAGAGAAATAGATGACACTAACAGAAGAGGGACATGCAATCTCAACCAGATAATCACTACAGTTTAGGGATGCTAAACTGTATCCCTAAACTCCGTATCCTAGCTCTGGAGAATCTCAACTGTGAGAATCCATGCACAATTATATTTATTAAGATGATCCTGCATCCTCAAGAAGAACTTCAATTTTGTTTGGTGTATCCCACTTATGAAGGTAAGGGAGTGGTTTAAGATTTCCACTTTAATTTATTTCCCATTTAAGAAAGCCAGGCACCAATGGCTCAAGCCTGTAATTCTAGCTACTTGGGAGGCTGAGATCAGGATGATCACGGTTCGAGGCCAGCCTGAGCTAAAAGTTCATGAGACCCCCCCCCCACCATCTCCAAAATACCAGAGCAAAATGGTCCAGAGGTGTGACTCAAGCTGTAGAGTAATTGCTTTGCAAGTGTGAAGCCCTGAGTTCAAATTCCAGTCCCACCAAAAAAAAAAATTGAAAGAGAGAGAAAGAAGCCTGTGGAATATAGATCTAATGTAAATGCAGCAATATTATGAAATACTGGTCACACTAAGGGAGGTCACATATGGGAGAGGTAGAGTAAAAGAAGGAAACTAAGAAGTTAAATATGATTGATATACTTTCTGAATAAGAATGAATATAGAAATCTTAAATCAGCTGAAACCACCATAAGAAATGGACTAAGGTAGAATGAAGAAAATTAGAGGAGCTAAACCAATTGGGGTTATAATACATATATACATGGAAATATCACAAGGAAACTCCCTACCATTATCTCAAACAAGCAAAAATGTCATTTTAAAATTTATTTTATTTTTAAAATTTTATTAAAATATGCTCATTATACAGCAGGATTCATAGTGACATTTCCAATTAGACTTATATTATACATTATTTACACTGCCCCCATCGTCTCTCCCCCTCAACCCCTTCCCCACTCCACTTAAAGCAATTGTGTGAAGTTTCATTCTTCTATTTCATATAGGTATATGAAGCCCACCAACCAAATACCTTGCCTTAATCTCCTTCATTCACCCTCCCTCCTCCCACTAGTACCCCCTCCACACACACTGTACCTATTTTACAGTCCTGTCTTTCATTATAAATATTTAATTTGATGTTTAAAGGGGTTTCTCAATTATTGCCCATTTATTTTTCTTTTTTCTTCTACAAAATCAGATTACAGGAGGGCAGAAGAGGTCCTGCCTGGGGTGGGTTGGGGGGCAGGACATGCTCAGGGGGTGTTAGTACAAGTGCAGTGGGAAAGAGGTAGGGGGGTGAATATGGTGCAAAAAATGTTTATATGTGTATGTAAATGCAAAAATAATACCTATTATTCCAGAAGTCAGGGGAGGGGTGGATAAAGGAGAGCAGAGGAGGGGATGAATCCAAGTATGAAATATTTGATATATTGGAAGAACATTTGTAAATGCCACAGTGTACCCCCATCCAACACAACAATAAAGGGGAAAGAGAGAGAGAGAGAGAGAGAGAGAGGGAGAGGGAGAGAGAGAGGGGCAGCGTTACATTATTGGGAAATGTGTCCTACAAGACTTGCACTTTCTATACTGTAGACCTGGATTGAGGTTAATAGATATGGATAGGAGTGAGAGGAATAATACATGTAATTTGTTCAGATGAATCAGAAACTCCATAGTGGAGACAGAGGAATAGTAGACTTGTTTAAAGTCATATACACTAAAATAGAAGATTTATTATTATATATTAAATTTGTATATTGCCTTTAATTGCATATGAAAGTTCTGTTTTTGAAGTGAAATAGAGAAACTAAACAAACAAGTTTTAAAAAGACATATAAAGTATTTTTGCATTTATATCTACAGAGGATTGTACCCACATTTTTTTCTGTCTGAAAATGTGCACTGAATACCACCATCAGTTTAATACAGAAACAGAGCTAAATATACCTATGCTATGATGTTGAGAAAGCAAAAAGGTACATAAAAAGTATAAAAATTGAGAATGTGGGAAATATTTTTCAGTGCAAAAATTACTCTAAAATTATAATATATAGCATTTCTCAGGCACTGAAAAATGAAATGAGTGTTTACATCTTGAGGCACATATTTGCTTTCTATTGAGAGAGATAAAATGGATATTCTTCTGTGTTTTTGAAAAAAAGTTTTGGATATAGAGATGTATAAAACTGTTTGAGAGAATTTCTTTTTTTCTTTCTTACCTAACATGAGAAAATAGTAGGGAGACTGCTGGCTTTGACACCACAGAACTGTTTACTGCTCTAATCACACATCATGTTGTATTAATTAATTGATAAGAGGAGAGAAAATATATTCTTTTTCTTCACATTCAGTGAGCATTTTAAGAAATATAAGCCTGTATCATTCTCTTCTGGTTCCTCTTTATTTGCAAATGCTTATATTTGGGCCATCACGTTTCTAACAGTCTTTCCTTTTCTTTGGACTTCCCTCCTTGTGTTTCAGGTGGGCCAGCCATGAGAGGGTACCTCGTGGCCATTTTCCTGAGTGCGGTCTTCCTCTATTATGTGCTGCATTGTATATTGTGGGGGGCAAATATCTATTGGTAAGTTTTGTTTTTACTACATAAACATAACTGTTGAACTAGTTTTTCATGCAAATACACACAAATTATATTAGAGGGACCTATTTTTTTAAAAAAATTCAAGAACTGTAACATTTTTAACCTTTTTTATTTTTATGTTACGCATTGATATCTCACCATTCCAGTATCCTATTGGTTCTTTAACAAGTTAACACTGATAAATAACCATATTGTTTATTGACTTGCCAATAAAACAGTAGTGTTGGCCATCTTTGTGACATAACATTCTTTATACAGTAGTTCATGTACTTGAATTAATGGAGTATGTCTTGGACTCAGTGGCATTTGGCTTTTGGAGCCTAAAATACTTGGATAAGACAACTTGATAAAATATACACACTACATATGGTTTCTTCTGTTTAAAAATATTTGATGAATGATTATATATTGTATATATTTGATGAACAATGATATATGTTTTGGCATAAAATTTCACTTATAAAACTTGAAGAGGCACAGATAATTTTACTATAGATAAAACCTCTCCCCATTTTCAGTCCTTTGGCTAGAAATCATTTCAATGACCTTTAAATCCTAAATATATGACTATACACAATTAAAATAAATCAAATGACAACTTCCTGTCTTAAATAAAAGGTTACTATTTTTGTCAGTGTTTCAGTAGATCTTAGATTATGTATCTAGCTTGTGCTTAATAAGTAAAATAATATTTCTGCTTATAATTTCATCATTGAGAAATAATTGTAATGCCTTTTCATGGACTAGTTAGGTAAATGGTCAGTAGAAAAAAAGGAAAAACCAATGACAGTTGAATGAGTTTGGCCATAACATTATAGGTTTTGGACCCAAATAGAGAATTTGAAGACTGATTACATATTAAATAAGGATTATTCTGCAGGGGTCTATCCTCCCATCTCTGCCACATTCTGTCTGTCCCACACTTAGTAGTGGAAGACAAGAAAAGAAGAAAAAGCAAGAAGCTTTCTAGATTACTACTTTTCTATAACTCCTGTTGCTTATCATGGGGGAAATGATAAAGAAGATAAAAGTCTGAATTTTGCGTAGTCTTTTATAACCAGAATATGAAGAGTGTCAAAATTGAACTAACATTCTGGTCAGTGAAAGTACCATGGGAAATTAACTTCCAGTGGGTGTTTGCATCATGAACTTGCTTTTTGTGTTGGGTAATTTTGAGATAGGGTCTCTTGAACCATTTGCCCGGGCTGGCTTCGAATTATAATCCTCCTGATCCCTGTCTCCCAAGTAGCTAGAATTACAGGTGTGAGCCACTGGTACCTGGCATGAACTTGCTTCTTTCAAAACTATTTAAGATAGATAATTGTCTTTGTTTTAAAAATTACTCAAACTTTGCCTTCTGAATATCCTAAAACATTAATTTGTTTTCTGTTTCTATGTTATTTTTATGTTTCTAATGACCTTAGAAATTAAATAATATCATATGTCTCATTTTGCCTTCTAGATGTGGTAAATCTACCAAATTTATATATCTTCCCTATCTATAAACCAATGGGTCCTTGCCATTTGTGGTTTTCACAAAAAATGTTTTCCTGCATAAGGACTTCGCAAGCCTCTTTGTTCAAAAACTTAACAGTTCTAAGTGTAGAAGTTTTATATTTAAAAATTTGAAAATTGGGTCTATCCATAAAGGGTTTAGTCTGTTTCCTTGAATCCTACTAATCATAAAAAAAATTGATTCTTTTAGTATTAATTCTTCTTATATTTGCTTGATGGTGATCAATAAGTCTTGTATTAAGCCTCCTCCTTCTTCTTTATTGTCTGTCTGATCCTGCCACTCCTCACCACCTTCATTTATTTTCATTGTTGTGCTCTGTCATGTTTCACAATACCCTTTTAAATTTTAGAGACAAGTACTCCATTCAGGAGTCACACAAGGGGCTAACCTGTGCCAAGACTGGAGGAGAGTTAGATACCATTCTCAGTAGTGTGATTTGTGGCCCCAGGGTCACAAGGCAAAGATTTGTTGAACCTGTTCAGGTCAGGTTTTTCTGTGGTATTTGCTGTCAGTAGGTGTCCCCAGATGTGGCATGGAAGACCACAGCCGTGTATACTTGGGGTGAGCGTGGTCACTCAGGCTTTCCAGGGTTTCTAAAAATGGAACCTGGTTTGACTTCCACAGTGTGGTAACCGTAGCCCTTCTCTGAGATTCCTCTGTATCACTGCCCTTTGAGTTGCTTTTGGGTCACTAATCAATGAACCCAAAAAGGAGTATTTTCTACTCTCTTGCTTTTTACTCATGAATCCTCAGACATTTGATTTGGAGAGGATCCTCTCAAACGTCAGGGGTGCTGGGAGGATTTTTATTCTCTGCTTGGAAGCCCATCAGTGGTGGCACTGAGTGGCTTCCCAGGGCATTTGCTTCCCTTTGGGCAGGCTTCCCAGTTCTGATTTCTGACCAACACTATTTTTGTCCTCTAGGGTACCACCTGTGGAAATGAAGCAGAGAAACAAGATCCAGCCTTGTTTATCGAAGCCAGCTTTTGCCTCTCTCCTGAGGTAAAAATATACAAAAAAAAAAAAAGTCTATGGCATATAAAACATTCAAAATATTTGTGAATGTTTTCCACATTTGTTTACTCCTTTCCTATAAATCTTGCACTACAAAGTAGACACCATATATTTAAGGAAGATCTTGAATATCCTGTCTCTTTTAGGCTTTTAGTCAGAACTCTGCATATATTTTATGAAAAGGCATTGAAGAACTCAACAAACCAGTACTCTTTCCACACAGGTGAGATTAGAGAGGTCTATTTGTGTTTGATCTTAAAAAAGTGAAGTGTTCTTTAGGGTTTTATTTTTCCCCTTGTTCTCATGCTATTTTTCATCTTAGTATTTTGTAGTTTCTTTTCCCTTGCCTAAAGTTTAAACTTTATGCAAATAATGATTATTTACATACAGTGTAAATAATGATTGTTCACGATGGTCATGAGAATTGTAGAGTTTACTCTGCCATCCACAGCTGTTCTTTTCCTGTGTACCTCAACTTTGACAGATTGCTGATTAGAATTCTTCTAGATAAAAGAAGAAATAAATGACAGTCCAGTCTAGGCATGTTTAATTGTGTAAAACAAGTTCAAGCTCTTTAGCATTTTTTCATTAAGCATCCAGAATTCTTTTATTACTTGGACCACTTTCCATTAGTGGTCCTTAACCCTTTGGGACTAAAGACCCCTTTAATATCAGTTATCTCTAGGGAAAACTGCAAACAAACGCATTTTTTTTGTATATGATTACATGCTATGGGAGATCACAGCCTGTGTGTGAGTGTTTGTTCAGTTAACACCACTGCCCAACTAGAAAAGCATTTTTATGCTTTTTTGATCATGACTTATGTTAAGAAATACATTTTACTTTAGGACATAGTACAGACTGTATTTATAAGAAAAAGAAAAAAATGTTTTATCCTTACTACTCCAGATACACAATATACTTCTATTCATTTAAAGAAATAGCTGTCCTGACTCACAAAATTAATTTCATTAACTACATATAGGTAGTAGATTACAGACTTAAATGCTATTCTAGAGTCAATGTACTCTATAACTAGTTAAAAAAAAAAGATACTTCCTTTCTGACAGTATTGAAGTTTGAATTCAGGGCTTCATGCTTGGTAGGCAGGCACTCTACCACATGAGCTACTCCACTGGCCTATTATTTTCTGAAAAAAAAAAAGGCAGGGGGCTTTTTCAAGATTGCTTAGTGAATATATAAGTCTATAGTGTAAGGGACAAGTAGATTTGCATTTTTCATGTGAACAGTGTTCTCTGAGGACAGTCCCCAGAGCATGCCACTTTCTCAGAAATTGAGGAAAGCCAGGAGCAATCAGGAAGCTGCTCAGAAGCTGAAGTATTATAAAGAGGACACTTTTTCTTAAAATTAGGCTTGCCTGTGCATTGCAGCTTTGCCATTTATGGGTTAGTGAACCCAACAAGTTACTTACTTTCTTTCTCAAAGCTTCAGTTTCTTTATCTATGTTGGTTAATATTCTTTACCTACTTTTCCAGGCTTTTGCAAGAAAAGCAATCACAGAAATGTAATGGAATACAACATGTTATAATTAATGTAATATAATACATTGTAATATCATACAAGGTAATTTTTTTATGGATAAAGCTAATACTTATTTAGCTCCTGCTAGATCTGCACCATGCTGACAAATATTTAAGAAATAAAAAGTAAGTCACCAAGTACAGTATCTGACTGGAAGCAAATATTAGTCACCATTGTTACTACTTTGAACAACTCCAAAAGTGTTGAATAGAGTCCTTTATTGGTGCAGTTGCCTAAGGTTCAATTTTCCTAGGAAGAGACTAGAAGCACTTGAATCAGGTGGCCTGACACTTTCTCTTCCCAAAGCAGATCCTGACATAGGATTGACACTGATATAGAAATGACTTTAGCTAGTTGGCTTGCCTCTGAGATTGCTGTCACTCACTAATTACACCTGAATGTGGAGCATGTGTCATATCTGGGCTGGAAGGGCTGGTCTCATCTGGTTTCTTTCACCTGAATGCACTGTTGGTCATTTCAGCTCCTATAACTTGCCTACGTTTGGTGGCTTCTGAGTGACAAAGTCAGGATAAAAGAGGAGCTCTTTCATTCTTATTCTACTGCTATTTATTTCCATTTTGTCATGCAGCCTTGTGAAGCCTCAGATCACTCTGATTTCTACCTGCAGTTTTTAGACTAAGCCCAAAGCTGATGTGGCAGGAAAGATGGTGCCTGTGTGGGGTCTGTGGTAAAGATTAACTAGATTAGCCCTGCAACTCTTAAGCAGCATCCAGTCCTTCCGGTGGGTGAAAATAACATTTTAATATACACTTTAAGAACCATTCCTTCTCTTTACTAATAAAAACTTTATTTTTCTACTTTATAATAACCCTATAAAATTGATTTGGAGCTGAAATTCATTCAAGCACTTATTAAACATGTGTTGACTGTCAACTCTGTGCCAGACACTAAAAATAAGGAAAATAGGTCATTCCTACCTTCATCAAACTTTCCTCCTTAGGAGGAGAGAGTGTTGTGATGGGGAGGCATTTTCAGGGCAGAGCAAGCAGTGACAAGACAAAAGTCCACAATTATTCTTCCTTTTTTGGTAGTACTGGGATTTGAACTTAGAGCTTCAAGCTTGCTAAGCAGGAGCTCTACCACTTGCACTCCATCAGACCTACAGTTGTTATTCTTGAGTAAATCTCCATTTAATGATATTAGGAAAGAGTCGAGTTCTAGATACATCTAACTTTTAATATATTTTTCTTTTTTATAGTTGACACAGTTTCATATAAATGGTACTTTTAAATTTAGGAATGGGCTGACATCAGTATCCTTATTACTTTGTTTCTTCCTGGCTATCATTTTATCACTGGGTGTTGCTTTACATTTTGTTTGCAACCCCACTGTAACAGAATTTTGATTTCACTACTTTGAAAGTGTTTCCATCCCAGTGTTTAATTCCATTACATATCCCATTTTATGTGATATTTAAATATAATTTTGTTATTTTTTTAAAAATAAAATAATTGCACAGTTATTTTCAGTTGTCATCTTGAAAGCCTGAAAATATAGTGGGTATTTGACAAAATCATTCTTTGTCCTTTCCTTCCAGGTTTCATCAGTTTCATCCTTTTCTGTGTGCAGCTGATTTTAAAAAGATTGCTTCTTTCTATAGTAATGATAAGTTTGATTTACCCTACGGGATACGAACCTCAGGTCAGTAGTAGTATTCTTATGCTGCTCTGTTAAATTTGATGAGACCCATATGTTTGTATAATTTTAAGTCCTTTGAATCTTTCTGCTTTCTAATTATTCTGGAGGGATATGATTTTGGGATGGGATCAAAGGAATTAAAAATTTAAATATCTACTCCTTTTGAGGCAGTGTAAAATCAATGAATACAAAAAGTAGTTTTTTGTTGTTGAGAAACTACATTTTAATTTTGTTCTGCATGTGACTCATGTGAGTTCTGATGGCTGTACTTTATTCTAGTTTAGAATTAGTAGGATCATCCTGAAGGTTAACTTCTGCCCTCTCTTCCCATTTCACCACTTTACTTGTGAGTTTTGTTTTGTTTATTTTATAAGTAAGTTCTTGTTCTTTTAATCAGTAAATGTTTTATTATCATTAAATTTTTAGGGATTATTCCATCTCCTAATGACAAAATACTTTCACTTGGCTTGTTGAGTACTGATTGTCTTTATATAGCTTTAACTTGTACATTTTGGGGAGACCTTAAAAACCCAAGAAGTGATAGACCTACAGTTTCAACTGATCCTGGGTGTGTGCTTGTGTGTGTATTTATTTTGTGGAGAAGTTGAGCATTTAATTGGTTTAAACTTACTATTGATTTCTCTTTTAGTGTCATTTTCAGAACCATCTGATTCTGTGAAATTTAAATTTTTTTTTTTTTTAGTACGAGGGTTTGAGCTCAAGGTGTTATGCTTGCTAAGCAAGTGCTCTACCACTTGAGCCACTAGTCATTTTTTATGATGGTTTTCAGATTAAGCATCTTGCTTCTTTCTGGTTTTGGGGAGGTATCTTTATAGCATTTGATATTTTAAATGTGCCTATTGAGAAGTGTGGGCTAATTGCAGTTGTACCACTAAATTTTCACAGATTAATCAACTGGTTTGTGATCATACCAGTTGGAAATGGGTTTGTGGGGGAGGGATTAAGGTGACTTACTATGTACCTAAGAAGTCATGATTACCTTTGTTTTCTAGCGGAGTATTTTCGACTTGCTCTTTCAAAGCTGCAGAGTTGTGATCTCTTTGATGAGTATGACAAGTGAGTTTGTTTCCTTGCTTCTCTTTCATTTTTTGCTTTATCTAAAGTTCAAAGTATATGTATCCAAATTCAAATATGTATACCCCAAGAAATGTGAAATGTATTTACTTAAGAAAGTTCCATAGCATTTGTGCATAACTAAAACCTACAGTAGTTATTTAAGTTACACTTGAAATAAATTAACAGCATAATTAAGTTAAAAGTTGCATTTCCAGCTAGCTCAAAGGTTTGCTGAGAGTTTTAATATTGAGCAGTACTGGTCCCAAGTCAGGGTATTTTTAACCCATGTACATCTTTTGTAAGTTGTTTCTGTTTAAGAATTAATTCACACTCACTGCTAATCACTGCACAGCCTCCCTTCATGGACTGCTTCCCATACTTTCCCAGGTATCTTCCCAATGATCCTTTCTGTTTTATTTGTTAAAAAGGTTGACTATTGGATTTTGGGAGCAGTTGTCTTCCTTTTTATTCAGAATAACATTGGAAGGAAGCAAATAGCTTACTTAGATATACATATTTAACTATAAAGGTAATTTTATTTTTAGAGAAGTTTGTTATCAAGATAGCCCCATAGAAATGGAATTGCCAAAGACAGACTTTTTGGCAGAGAGGCTTATTTTACAGAGGTGGGCTTAGAACTGGGCTTGGCCAGTGTGAGAATGTGGATGGTCTACAGATATCAAGTCTCTATTAAAAAAGGAAGATGGCAGAATTTCCTCTTTTTCTGAAAAACAGAGGTATTGTTTGGTGGATGCAGATGGCTGGGGATTGGACAGAGAGGGAAAATAGAGATAGGAGTTTACAGAATGTAGCTGGAGGAGCAGTGTTCCATTTTGTTCAGGTCTGTCTCATTTTTAACTGTTGAGGACTCAGATTATTAATTTTGTTTGTTTTTGAAGTAACCTTTATTTTTTTAAGTTCACATGTGTATTATAGGAAACAAAAACATAAGAAGCAAAGAACAAAGTCATCCATGGCCACAAGTTGCACATGCCCTTCTAGGCAAGACCCAGATTATTGGAATGTGGATTATGTAATGTGTGTTGGTTTATTTTTGCTTGTTATAATATCTAATTTAAAACCATGCTATCTACCTGATCAATTTCAATTTTGATTGCATGTCAACAGAAATAATATATGTGTGTGTGTGTGTGTAGACACACACGACCTAACATATATATATATATATATATATATATATATATATATATTTTTTTTTTTTTTTTTAATCTCATTTATTGGGTTTTGTTTTGTGGAGACCTTTGATATTTGTATTCAAGGTCAGTTAGTTGTCTCTGATTTTATAAGTGGGAGAAACCAAGGCTAGGCAATCATACATATTTTGTTACAGTTGGTAAATACCAGAGTTAGGATGTGAATGTAGACAACTCTAACTCCAGTGCCTGAATGTCTGAGTTAAAAGTGATAAGGGCTATTGCTTAAATATTTGCAGCAAGTATCTGCAAATATTTGTAAGTATCCTTGGTCCTACAAATGGGAGGTTCTGTTGACTTCTTGAGCATATGTGAATAGAAGTTTTGTTTTTGCCTAGTTTTTGTTTCAGAGCAAAACTGTACTTCATCTAGTTGCTTTCAAAACCCTTCTCCCACAGTTGTTCAGACCTTTGTGTGTGCCTTGGCAAGACTTTGTCCCTTTGCTGTTGTCTAACTGTTCCCCACCCTTTCTCCTTTGTTACCTAGAGTGCCCTACTCCCCACCAGCAGCTTAAGTCCATTTCTTTAGTTCAGATATTTTCTCTTCATTTTATTCTCCTTTGTCCTCTTTGTCATTTTTAGAAAGGTTTCAGACATTTTTGTTGTTTCAATATCTGAAACCTGTAAGATTCTACCAGATATAAGTACTAGTTTTGTTCAGACATCTTGAACAGCATGCATGATGCCGTCAGTTGAATAGATTCCACAATAATTAGGAAAACTTAAAATATCAGTTTTGCTTACTAGATGGAAGTTTCCCCCTTCCTCATAGTTTTCACATATATGAAGTCTGCAGGGCTGACCCAGCAGTTCTGCGATCATCAGAGGCCAAGGCTTCTTCTCTACTGTGATTCGGCCATTCCTCAGTACAGTTTCCTCCTTAGCTTCAATATGGTGTAGCTGATAGCTGGAATCCCAGCAATCACATCTGCATTCCTGCAGCAGAGAGAGAATGAAGAGAAGAAGGGCACATCCCACCCTTTAAGACTTGCCTCCTTCCTTAAGGACATCTCCCAGAAATCACATATATTACTTCATTATATCTAGTTTTGGGCTAGAGTCAGTTCAGTTGGTACCAACTTATGAGAACTACATCTCTTTCTAGCTCTGTATTCAGTGCCTTCAAGGTGGAAGCTTGAAATCAGTCTTAGAGGAAGTACTCATATCATGGGAATTGGCAAGTCCTACAAAGTAGAGCTTCCCGCATTGTCCCTCTCCCCACCCCCACAAGAACTGGTTGGTTGTTAAAACATTTGCTGCCACTAGATCGAATTCAGATTCAAGTTCATGCCTAGCTGGAAGATGGACTGTAAAATGTTACTTTATTGTGTGCCCACCTTTAAAAACAGTAAATGGACACAGGAAACATGATGAATGATGGACGACAGTCATTTTATTAGTATTGTCCATCATTTGCCTGGCCTCCATGTTTTTGTGCCACTCTGAGGATTGAAATCAATTTGATAACTAACTCTACTGTCTAACATCTGAGCTCAGAGCATCTTTTCTATATGTTGCTGCTGTTGCTGTCTCATAGATTCAGGTTACTCTATTGTTCAAAGCCCAGCTAACAGCAGGTACCATTTTTAATGAATGTCACTAAAATTAAGGATATTTTAGGAAACTGCAGCACAGAAAATAATACTTCAAATATGCCCATATTCCAAGGTCATAGCCATTACTAGCTATTCATGTTGCTCCCTAGCACCAGCCTGCCTGCTGGTCCCAGGAATGTTGCTGTGTCCTTAATGGGACTACATCCTCTCCCACCCAGAAGCAACAGACATCTTGTTTGCACGGAACGTCAGCTCCCACTTAAAACACTCAAAATAACTCCCCACTCCCAACTACCAGCACTGCATTCTGAAAGGACACCAGATTTTATGAAGAATGCTTTAGTCCTACAGTGTTGATGGTTATATAGTAACTGCATCTAAATATCTTACCTAACAGAAGCACCTATATCAAGTCAGTTGGCTGGGAAATGGATGGAGATTTGTAAATGCTGTCTGGCTGCTCAAGCAGAATCCTTTATATTAGCATCAGAAGAGCGGGGTTAGACTGGTTATCAGCCAAGGCAGGAGCAGGTCTATAGTAGAGTTAAAAAGAAGGAATTATACTTTAACAACATGTTTGCTACTCTGTAAGGAATATCAACACCTGTTATTCACTTTTACATCCTGTGTTTTGCAAGGTTTCTTTACATGCAGCATTTTTAGCCATGGGCAGACCTTGAGGGAGAGAAAGTTGTCATTCTTCATTAACAAGTGAGTCAAATGAGGTAAAGGCACAAGTGCAACTACTACCTGTTTTCTAGCATCTGCTGTCGTCAGATGTTGAGTAAAGATACAAAAATAAGGCTGCACATGCTGGGGAAATAGTCACATCCAATGAAATAAACAACATTAAAGACATCAGTGATTTTCTTACTTCAAAACAGGGAAAACAGATCATAGAGGTCAGCTCACTAGGCCAACTTCGTAGAGGTGCTAAGTGAGGGAGCCAAAATAAGTAGCTGGTTATCTACCTGTAGCTCCTTGTTTGTAGGTTTTGGCTATAAGTAGTTCTTAACTGAGAAATTTGAACATGTATTATATTGCCCATATTTAGATCTGCAGGTTTGTGGTTTCACCTTGCAGGATGGCCTGCTTATGCCTTCACTGACTATGGAGTGCACAGCCCTGGAGAGTGCCAATTCATGCAGTTATCTGAATGATGCCTTCTGTATTTGGACAGTGTACAACCTAAACACCTGTTTGCATGCATGAAGTGTCTCTGGTTGTGGAATGAATTAGTGGTTCTGTGATGTGATGGCTGAAGAGTTGCTTTTTTGTGGTTCTCTCTCTGAGTTGAAAAATGCTTGAAGCTCTTCTAACTTCATGTTATCTCATGTCAGTGTCTAAGCAGAAAGAAAGGGGCAGATAAGAGAAAGTATTCTACTCACACCATTGTTTTGTCAGGGGGCAGACTCTCTTCCAAAAGCATCTAACAGACTTTCTCTAGTACTTTATTGTCCATGGATGAGTCACATGGCTACCTCTAGAACAACTGGTAGAGGATATGACCCCCATTGTAGGCTTACAAAAGCAGAGTTCTGATACAAGGCACGTGGGATAATAGGTATATGGAATATGACCAATAGGATCTGCCATAAATTGTTACAATGAAGATGCAGTGATGTGTTCTAATGTATATGGTACTGCCAAAGGGAAAAAATGAATGTTTGAAAGAAGATACATCACAGATCATTAGAAATGGACAATTCACATTTACTTTATCTACATTGGTTGTGTCACTATTTCCCCTGCATAGTGTAGTGACTCTTCTCTTTGCCCAACTTGATGAAAAATGCCACTTTTACATAGAGGAAATGGAGTATCTTACTACTACTGTTTTAGCAGCTGTTCAGGTTTTCCATGAACAGGTTCAGACACTGGAATTTTCTGACTGGCAGCTTGGGGAATGTGCATTTCCTTACCTGTTTTCAGGGCAGAGTAACAGATACCTGCTTCTGTAGCTACAGATTAGGAAAATGACCTCAAAGCACTTAATGTAATAACCCAAGTAATTTTTAAAATGCCTGTGAATGAGGAAGTGGTTTAGATGGAATGATAGATATAAACAATACTATTCTTTCCTTTCGGGACTCACAGTTCATTGAACTATTTGTGCAGGCAAGTTGTGTTAATTAAATATGGTTAAGTTATACAGTCACCCAAAGGATGCTGAAAATAATTGCTTTACACTTGAGGAGGAAGAGGGAGCCAGGATCCCAGGCAAAGCGGATGAAGCCAAGTAAGAATCAGTCCTTTCATAAAATGTGGAGTCCTGATTGGGAGAAATGGGGACTCTATTGAATTTTGAGTAGTGTGGTTCTGGTGATTCATCTGTACCATTCCATATTTCTCAGAGACATGGTTGAACTGTGGTTACTGGCTATGGATAAGATTGCCAAGTTGTTGTCCAGGGATATTGCCAGAAGACTTTCTAGCATTATATGTGATCCTTAGAAAAAATATATAGATCTTTGCAAGATCCCTTACCAGGAGGAAAACTGGGTTTTCAGACAAGGTTTCCTTGTCTATGAGAGAAGTTGGCAAGCTTTTCCTATAGTAAAGGTTTTCTTCCACTTGTTCTTAAAGCTGACAGAGAAGAAATTAGAAGAATTCCTAAAATGTGATAGTACTGAAGTGTGAAGAGTCATTGGATTTGGAATTCCCTTGAGTGAGCAATGTCTATATGATTTCTATCCACTTTTCCTTATTCCTGGGACCTATAAGACCATAAGCAGGTAGAGTTGGAGTGGGAATAATCCTTTCTGGTAGCTAGTCCTAGAGGATCCTGCAGAAGAGATCTGCCCAAACTCTATACTCTGTCTTTTCTTTGCCTGAAAGGGTCACTAGAGTCTTTGGGTGGCAGGGGAGTTACAGGAACATGAGCTTGAGGGGAGACCAGTGATGTGGCATATATGGTATGACAGATGGTAGATACTTTTACCATGATGTTCTTTGGTTAACCCTAGATCATGATGTAGCTATTGGCCAACTGCAATCTCATCTGATAGAGGGGAAGCTTCCATAAATACTAAGATTCAATCTGTCAATTCATTGCTAAGCAACATGATAGAACTGGCTGTGTCTGAGACTGAATCAAGTTATCTCCTTCTGGGGTCAAGTTCAGAGATAGGGCCTATGGTTCACAAGTCTTTTGCTGAGATACAGGGTAAGCCATGAGGGCATACTGGTAGCCTTCACTTCTGGCCCTTGCCCCTGTATGTTTGGTAAAGTTGGAGTCAGATTGCCTGGTGTCAAATTGGGGACACCAGGAAAGAATGGATACTAGAGCTCCTATGGTACCTAGGCTCAGGGCAAGGCAACCCTTCCTTCAACAGGGGAGTTGCCTCCAGCCTTTACTGGAAGGAGCGGGTTAGACTAGGTACTGATAGTCCTTCCTGAGGCCCATGAAGCTTAGCTTCTGGGAACAGTTGTGATTTCAATTATTCTGTTCTGGGCCACCCCCTCCTTCTCTGGTATCCAACATCCCAGTAGGGAGGTGGATCCAGCCTCAAAAGCTTCTGCCTAAAACAAACCCCAAGATTATGCAACAGTGAGCAAGCTATGAGTGTGGGGATTGTCCCCTGCTGAAGAGCATTCATGGGATGAATCTGGTGAGGATAATGGTAAAAATCCCTGAGAAAAGAGAGTTTTGAATATTTAATAGTGCTAGTAGACCCCAAAGTAGAGAGCCTTTGATAAACTTGGCTTCCAGGAATTGGGATTAAAGTCAAAGTTGTTTTTAAAATCATATAGAGGGAGAGGGGATGAAGGAGAATGATCGAGGTAATGAATCAATAATTAATGTACATTGTAAGCAAGTATGGAAATGTCACAATGAAACTCCCCTGTACATCTAATATAATGCTAATTTTTTAAAGCATCTAGAGATTGGTCAATTTCATAAACATATTTAAATAAACACATAACCCTAGAACACATTGTGAAATATGACATGTCTATGAAGTGAGGTATTGGGCACATCTTCTATTGGACAATGTTCTCCTACCTCTTATGCCCCCTCCCAAAATCCCTGCTACCTGTGAAACTGGTAGTTCTTGTTCTTGTCTGATGAAATAGATGCTGATGTAGACATGACTATTTGCTATTTGACAGTTAAGAACCCCAAATTGGGGTTGGTGGAGTGGCTCAGGTGATAGAGTGCCTGTTAAGCTATTCTAGCAGATATGAGACCCTGAGTTCAAGCCCCAGTACCACCACCAAAAAAAAAAAAAAATCCAAAATTGAAGTATACTAAAAATGTTTTTAAAATATTAGTATTCAAATTTATAAAATAATTAGATAAAGTATACAAATTCTATGTAAGAAAGTTAAACATCTGAGTACAGGATTGTGTATATTGTCTCTTAACCTGACAAGGCCAGTGCTTGACCTTAAATAGTTCCTGCATTCCTGTAGTCTCTATGTTTAAATATTATACAACATTTGTATAATTTCACTACCCATTAATTTTCTAAAAGCCTTAAGGTATTGAGTTCAACTGGATTGCTGATTTCATGGTTCTTAGAAACAGTTTTTTCTTTAGACTTTCCACATCATGAGGGCCCTAAAAGGACAGCTTCAACAGCCTTCACTTACGTAATTTTGTCTCCTAGAGAAGGGCATAGTTTGTTATTTTTTTCCAGGCCAAATAGGCTGGTGGTAAGAGCTAAGAGATAGATGGCTCAAGACCATATTTGCTGAGGGCCAATGCTATACAATCCACGGTTCTAAGCTGAGCCCAACTAGCAACAGGAAGTCTCTCTATGTGACCTACTTTAATCCTCTTTGCCAGGAAAACAGAGCGAACTGTTAGTTTGTTTGGTTAAGTTTCAGGGACCAGATCATGCTTGGGAAATTGAAGTGAGCCTGGGCAGGGTACAAAAGCTGCCCTTTTCCCACCGGATCCTAAACTGTCCATTTCCACACATACAAGGTGCAACAGAAAGCCAGAGATGGACTCTCAGAGGAACTGTTAATATTGGCAAAAAATATATGTGTATGTAAAAAAAAAAAAACAAACGTATCAGTATCAACATGCAGAACCCTGGGTGGAGGAGTGTTTTTATATTGTAAAAGTTTTAATCCATCTGCTAATCTACCTTTTTGGAATGTGACTTTGAAATGTTATGTGATAATTTTCTGAACCTATTTCTAAATTTGTGTATGGGGCTATTAGACTTATTTATCTCAATTGGTGGTTGTTTAAGAATCAAATGAGAAAGAGTACAAGCTGCTAAGAGTTAGTATTTGATGGCAATAATAATATACTTTCCCTATAGAATATTATTTCTTGAATCTTATATTATAGACCTATAAGACACAGTTAGTTTTTGTTTTGCTTGTGTAACAAATGAAAGTCAGCATGAAGTTTCTGAAAATAGGAACAGGTTTCTGGAATCACTCCATTTTGTAAGATTGCTCAACCTCTCACTTATTGTTTGCCCAACAGCATACCATGTAAAAAGTGTGTGGTGGTTGGTAATGGAGGAGTTTTGAAGAATAAGACATTAGGAGAAAAAATCGACTCCTATGATGTAATAATAAGGTAAATGTATTTTCTATTTGTTAACTTAGAGTTCATTGAAAAGAATATAGTTTCCTATTTTAGCACAGCTGTGTTTTAAAAGATGCTTCAATTTATTTATGTACTTGATTATATAACTTCCTCTCTCTGTTTTTGGCTGGAGTGAGGCCTACATTTCAGGTCACCAATTTAGCAAATATTTGTTATGTCCTGTTAATATGCCAGGCATGTTTGTAGCCACAGGGAAGCTAGCAATGGATTAGCATAGTGTTCTACCTTCCTGTGGAGGCTACATTCTAAGGAAACAGTGATTAAATTTATAAGAAAATATAATTGATGTCATACATACAATCAAAGCAAGATATGATGGAGAATGGTTGAGGAGCTTACTGAGGGAATGATTACTTTGGGGAGGTGGAATTAAGTGACCATGTGGTAGCAGCCACATGAAGACTACAGAAGAGCAGTCCAGGTAAAGAGAATGTTTATTGCAGGTCCCCAGGAGGATATCATTGTGAGTTTGTGAGGAGTGTCAGATAACCTAGTGAGACTGGAGGTCAGAAAACTTGGGGAGAATGGTACAGTCAGATGCTAAAGAGGTGAGGTGGGCAAGGAACAAGCTATGCTGGAATTTTTGTTAGAAGTTTAGATTTTTGAAGGTTTTTAAAGCAACACATTGATGCAATAAATGCAGAAAAATATCCTGGCTGCAGCACAGTGTGAGAGATAAAGGTAGAAGTGAGGCATCCAATTAAGTTGCTGTACTTTGGTAGGAGATAATGGTGGTTTAGGACAGGATTGTCATAGAAAAGAAGTAGGTTAGTGGACAGATTGGTGATATGTTATAGGCATACGGTTACCAGGATTTATTGTTTTATTAGATGTGAAGGGTAATGGGAATAAAGGAATCAAAGATGCCTCTGACCCTTTTTTCAGGGTAAGAGATTGGTTGGAGAGTAGAATCACTTATTGAGTCGGGGGAGACTAATATAGGAGCAGGTTAAGAGGAAAAACAGGGGTTCTGTATTAGTATTTTAGATTCGAGATACTCATGAGATACGGACAGTTAAGTACGTAGTTGGACAAACAGGTTTAAGTTTTTATGGTAAGTGACCTATAAACTGCATTTAAACCATGGACTTGGTGAGAGTCCCCAGGGAGAGACTGAGAGAGACATGAGGGCACAGGACTCAGATTTGGAGCATTTAACACTTAGCTTGAGCAAAGAAAAAGGAGTGAAAGAGAAAAAGATAGAAAGGTTCCACCAGCCTTTCCTCTGAAAATGAGGAGAAAGTGATCACAGAAGTCAAGAGAGCAAAGTGTTTTAGGACAGATGGAGTGACCAGCCAGGCCCCAATGGTAATGAGAGGTTGTACAAATCAAGGGCAGAGAGGGGATTAGTGGATTGTCAACCTGAAGCTCATTGTCACTCTTGACAAAACCAGGTTTTAGGCATGATGTGGCAAGAAGCCTGACTGGGTAGAATTGAAGAGAGAATGACAGATAAGGAGATAGAGAAACCAGTGAAGTCAACTCTTGAGAAATTTTGTTCTAGAGTTGAAAATGAGCTCGTAGTTGGAGATGGTGGCACAATCAAGGAAAGATTTTGTTTTGTTTCCTTTTGTAAAGCTAAGCAGTGCTAGAGAATATTGTTAATCTGATGAGAATGTGTAGAAAAAGAGATTGGTGTAGTGAAAAGAAAAGGACATGGTCTAAAGAACTAGTGTGGTAATCTTTTGTAATGGAGAACGAGGATTGTGGTTGCAGCTACCAGCAGGCTTTTAAGATTTAGAGGTGGGAAAATAAGCATATTTTTATATCCTCAATGAAAGGTTGAGATAAGGTCATCATCTTGGTTAAGTATGTGTGTTAGGAGTAGATATGAATAGCCTTTTGTGGGAAAGCTAGCACACTGGCATGCTAGGAAGACCTGGCAGTGTTTGGAGGATTTGCTAGGTTACAGGCTGGTTTGTGTATAGCAAGGGCACCCTACTTTCTGTTTATTACCCATTTTTGTTGAAGTTGTAGTAATTTATATATAAAACAATTTTAAACCATTCCCAAGTTTCTCTGTTTATAACTGTAACTCTGGTTTAGAACAATGGCAAGCCCTACAGTAAAATATCATGGGCACAACATTTTGAAAGTCATTTCATGTGTTATTAATACTGTCTTATGTTACAGTCAGTGTTAAAGGGCGAAACAGTATTTATCCTCTTAGGTACACTGTTTTGGAAACAAAGCATTTCATTTTTATAGCATGCCTTCATAGTGTGTGCATAAATAGTACATGTCTAACTCTGCCTTTTAGCATACACAAATGCAGCAGCATATTTTTTATGCTTTTTCAGTTCACTCTAGCAATAAACATTCATTTGGTGGTGCTGAGTATAATACAGCAATTTTTGTTTACTTCATTTCAAAGCACAAGTCTGATGGCTTTTCAAGCCAATTTAAATGGTGATTCTTCTTCCCTATTAGTTGCTTACGAACATGTCCATCATTATAATGACTGTATGACCGTGGTGCAAATAAATTTTCTCTCTTTGAACTTCAGGGTCCTTATCTGTAAACCCAAGATGATTCATGTGGTTGTCCTCTGAAGTCTTTTTTTTTTTTGGTGGTGGTGGTACTAGGGTTTGAACTGAGGGACTTGCACTTGCTAGATGAGTGCTCTGAGGTCTTTTTTAACTCTAGCATTCTGAGGTTTTGTGTTCCTATTTCTTTTATTTGGTCTTCAGTTTTTCTAGAGGTAAGGCTGAATTGTTGGTTTCACAATTAGTTTTCAAATACAAGTGAACTTCCTTTGATCAGCTATTTCATGAAAAAGAATTATCTGCTTGATCATTATTTGTAAAAGATTCATCAATTGTTTTGTGGACTTCAGAGCACAGAAATAATGGCTGTTGTTTGTTCAATCCTGAAGTCTCTGAGAATTGTGATGAAAATGGCTCATACTCCACTTAGTCTACATATCTTGTGTATCTTACTACCCACAGAATGAATAATGGTCCTGTTTTAGGACATGAAGAAGAAGTTGGGAAAAGGACAACCTTCCGACTGTTTTATCCAGAATCTGTTTTTTCAGATCTCAGTCACAATGATCCCAACACTACAGCAATTCTCATTGCTTTTAAGCCGCTTGATTTAAAGTGGCTGCTGGAATTGTTGACGGGTGGCAAAATAGTAAGTTGGCAAAACTGATCCGTCTTCAGATTACCTTCAGTATGTTTTCCTTTAAAAAAATAAGAGACAACCACAATGTTCTATATTCTATATTTATTTCAGAACACTAATGGTTTTTGGAAGAAACCAGCCTTAAACTTGATCTATAAACCATATCAAATTAGAATATTAGATCCTTTCATCATCAGAATGGCAGCTTATGAACTGCTTCATTTTCCAAAAGTGTTTCCAAAAAATCAGGTATGTATGTATCTATCATTGCATGTTTCAAGGTAAAGATCTAGCTGAGGCAGGATAGAATGTTCTTGGAGCTTTCAAAAACTGTAGGAGAATGATGGTTCATTTTGTAGTTTCTGAAGACCATATCTGAGTTAGTAAAATTATATTAAGTGGAGTTCCCCCCTGCTCCCTGCAAGCCCAAATGGTTCATCTCTTATAACTTCATCTTAAGTGAAGAGTCTAACTAGGTGGGCTGATGGACAGGGTTGTGACCAGAGTAATGACAGGCTTTAGGACAAGTACATAGCTTTTCCGGCTAAAGAGAATGGCCAGAAGCACTCTGTATTATTAAGCTTCATTTTACTCCAGTGAAATACCTGAGACACATATTTATGAATGAAAGATTTATTTAGGTCATAGTTTTGGAAGTTCTTCAAGTCCAAGATTGGTGGCCCCATGCTTTGTACCTCTGGTGAAAGTGGCACATCATTGAGGGAGTATGTCAGAGAAAATGCACACATCTCAAGCCAGGAAACACAAAGAGGAAGACATTTGACTCCCACAGTCCCTTCAGAGGTCTCACTAGGCCCACTGCACCTCCCAGTAGTACCCCGTGGAGGACCAATCTTTCACATATGGACCTTTTGGGGACATTCTTCCAAACCATAGCGTGCCCTGCTAAAAATATCACAGGAAAGCCAGAGGAAAATAACGTACTCCAAAAATATTTCTGTGGTCACAGAGGAAACACTGGCACTAAATTCTCAAGAAACAAGCAAAACTTGGAACATGGTATAGGGTCAAGGAAGTTTTGTTCATTTTGTATGTGGTAGAGAAAAATGGATGATGAGGGAAGAAAGAGTGTAAACATATAGGCAAAGTTGGTGATAAGAGATGGGTATTACATTAGTGAAGGGTTGGCCATAGGTACAAACAGGGACATCTCATTCATTGTAAGAGGAGTTAGCACTACAAAGATGAGTAAAGACACAAGTTCAGATGTAGATTTGGAGTTGGGAAGATGATGGAGCTCGTGTTTGCTTTCATTTTCATAGAAGAGTCATGACTGAATTGTCAGCTGAAAGTAGGAAGACTAGAGCTTTTGGGGGATAGAAAAAGTTACGAAATTGTCATCTTGGAGAACAGGAATGGAAATTTAGGTAATTGTAACTGGATTGCTGGAATACTGAATGCTTACTTGGGACTTTGGTCATCAGTTTATTTGAGCAGGCAAACATTTTCTTTTGCCCTATTCTGCTGGTTAGGTGTGGAGAATTGAGTTTCACCAGTGTTGAGTCTGTCAGGTGATTATATAGACTCTGTGGATAATGAGGAGAAGAGTTAAATATCATTATACAAATGATTACAGTTTTGGATGAAGGACTAGTAGGGTGTGAAGAAAGGAATCGGAGGACATGAAAAGGAGCAACGAGAAGGAAAAGTGATGAGATCAATAAGGGTGAATGACTCCTAGGTTTTGAATCCAAACACTAACATCCTTCTCTAGCAAGTAGCAGTGTTGTAGTGGTCACAAGCTACACCTACAGATTAGCTTGCCACTTTCTAGAGTTCACGATTTACTTTTTCCTTTCTCTTCCTCAAAATCATAATCACATGCAATTTTTATGAGAATTCTTGAATTGTGGAAAAAGTTTAAGGTCTTTTTTGTCTTTGAAGGCTATGGCAATGAGAATGAAAACTTTTGCATGCTGAGACCCTCCTGTCAATCACCCATCACACTACTTTTCAGGATATATGTATATATGATGCTTAGTTTTTCCATTTTTGTAAAAATGATCCAAATGAAGTTATTTCTATATATACACTGTAATTTTCTAGATAGAAACTTACCATGTTTTGCCATTGAAGTTGATTAGTCTTTCCTTAGAATTAAATTATCAGAAATTTTAAACATAGCTACTTTAAGCCTTATGAAGCCTTTTATCATGATGCTGTCCATTAGCAAGTTGTCCTTACTTAAAGATTTCCCAGTTTTACATTTTTCATAAAGAACCTGACTTATGTTTTTTTCGTTGTGGTTATTTTGTTTTTGAGATAGGTCTTATTGTGTAGCCCATGCTGGCCTATAACTCACAATTCTGTCTTTGCCCTTAGACTGGGATTACAGTAGTGTACTACCATATCCAGCTGTTTTTTTTTTTAAGACAATGCAGCATGTTCTCCCTTATACATGAAAAGTTTTTCCTTCACTTGGTAGTTGTCTTCTGAGCTAAAATTGCTGCTAAATTTTATCTGAAAGACTTTCTAATATTTCAGTCAGAATTTATGTTCTTTCTAGAGTAAGGTATACTATTTGGAACTTGAGTTTTGGGGCATGATGAGGGTTTAACTAAGTATTTCTCTCTGGATTATATATTCAGAAATCCCTGTTTCTATTAGACTAGGCCAACCAAATATGTTTTGTAAACAAGTATCTCATTTGGACTTTTTTTCATTTCCCCCCTAGAAACCCAAACACCCAACAACAGGAATTATTGCCATTACACTGGCATTTCACATATGTCATGAAGTTCACCTAGCTGGCTTCAAATACAACTTTTCTGACCTCAAGAGTCCTTTGCACTACTATGGGAATGCCACCATGTCTTTGATGAATAAGGTAATATAGCTATCACTTAAGGTAATATATAAATACTTTGACATAATCATTGAACTTACTGTCAGAAAGCCCATATTTTTCTTCTTACCCTCTCATTTTACTGAGAGAAAGTTTTGAGGAAGAGGGTTTGATGGGGTTTCAGAACTATCAAAGGCTGAAAACAAAGCTCAAGTTGAGATCATTTTACAACAGTAGCAATTCCTAGTTTGTGGGCCTCAGCCTCTTTGGAGAACATGATGGTTATTGCCAAGTATCATCATACCCATATAGGAACCAAGACTTATTTTGGATATATTTGCATTATTTAACTATAATATAACCTGCTGTGTTTGAGATACACAGTTTCACTACAAAGTGCTGCTAGGCTCATAATTTTTTTTTTTTTTTTTTTTTTAGTGAAGTAGATAAGATGGTCTAGAATAATGTTCCTACGTAAAAGAACCTTCATGGTCAGGAGTTATAAACCTTTTTACTAGATCATATTTATTTTGAATAGAGATCAATACTGGTAGATTTGGTTCTGAAGATTTTTAATTGACCAAATTGGAAGGAATTTAGTATTTCATTCTTAGATTGGTGGTACACAAATGACATGGTTAAAATATTTTCTGTACATTTTAAATATTAAAATATGAATCATTTGCTATACAGATTTATCTCATGAAATTAGTACCACTTAATTAGGCCCAAATACTGTGTAAGATGAGGATGTGCTATTATTCAGGTTGGATGTTAATTCTGTCTTTTGAACCCTCAGCTCTTTATAGGCCAAGAATTAGTGCCTAGAACAGACTTTAGATTAGGCTCATTCCTCCTCAGCCCAAACCCCTCCTACAAAACTTGTGGTATTTCTAGTCATATAAAGAAGATCAAAACAACTTCCTGAGGACAAAAATTAGTAGTTTGTATTTTTGCAGGGCTGGACCACTAACTAAGCCACACTTTCAGTCTCAGAATTATTTTTCAAAAGACACCTTAAACTGAACATGCTTTGTAGTATTTTCTTATCTTTAGGTCAATTATTTATGAGTTCCAGGTGCAGTTAAAAAAAACAAATCTTTTGACTTACAAATTAATTTTTTTTATAGATTTATACAATTTAGTGTATCAGATGATCTGAGGAAATCTCTTAAGTGCCAGCATAAGTAGAAAAAGTGGGCTTTAGGGGCTCTCCCACAAGCAAGGAGAAAACAATTAGAAAGTACAGTCCATGCGACTTGTGACTAACATTTGAGCTTTATATATAGAACTTTTAACATCTGGAATTCCCCATTGCTTTAATATTTTAAGATTGGAACAGATGGTAATCTTGCTTTATTTTTCTTTAGAATGCGTATCATAATGTGACTGCAGAGCAGCTCTTTTTGAAGAACCTTATAGAAAAAAACTTTGTAATCGACTTGACTCAAGATTGACTATGCAGACTGAGAAGATTATGCTAAACAGTATTAGTTTTATTTTTGTACTGCAATGTTTAGTTTATTTTTAAATATGTTGAACTTGTCAAATAATTATGTATATTAAGTCTTTTGCTGTCTGGTGATTTGTAATCACCAGTTTAATCTCTGTGAATGTATTTATGAAAACCAAGAAATGTTTAGTTATCAGGGAAACAAGTAAAATTTTGATTGTATTGTGTTTTTAAAATAAGCTAGTTTTTTGAGGTATTTTGAACATCTTTTTATAATACTTCATCTTAAGACTTTTGAAAGGAGGTGATTCCCAATAAGGTGATCTAGTTTACCATAACAGTTTTGTCCATAAAATGTCACTTTGAAAGGTATATTTAGCTTCTGTTATACTTGACAGGTGGGAAACTGGTGTGTGTTGTCTTGATGTAGCAAACTGGAACCACTTGGTTGTGGAAATCTAAGTATATACTGGTTTAATTAAGTTTTTTCCTTTTGCAATTAAGTAAACCATGATTGTGATAAGTAATAATTTGGTAGAAAGAAGATGGCAGGTTTTGAAATTCTGGATGAGTAAAAAAAGTTATTCACTTACTAATGGCTTTGCATTACTTCAAAAAATAAAAGTTTACTTTATACAAAGAAGCTAAGCAAGGCAAGCTTAAGGAGAAAATTCTTAGACATCCTGATAATGATGACTGCTGCTGTTCTTGAGATAGGGTCTTGTTTTGTAGTCCAGGATGGCCTCAGATTTGTGAACTTCTTGCCTCAGTCTCCCAAGAGCTGGGTTTATATACCACTATGCCTGGTTAAACATTTTTGCCTGGTTTAAATTTTGAGAGTTTTGTATTTGAAATAAATTAGGAAATACAAGCAAAACAGCAACAAAAGTAAAATCTTAGGAAGAGTCAAGCTGTTTTAGACTTAAATATTTTTTATGAATCTCTGTGAATGTATTTATGAAAACCAAGAAATGTTTAGTTATTTTCATGATTAAATTTAATCTTCAAATGAAAATTTTCTTGGCTATCTCAGGTACACCAGAGAAGAATCTGGTGAGATACAAACAAGCTAGTACTGTGAGTTGTTCTCACTTTCCACTTCTACATTTACAACCAGAGGCTATTTGGAGGTGGAAGAATGAGAGGTGAGAGAAAGGAACAGTAGAAGTTAAGAGAAGGATGGAATTAAAAGGTTTCAGAAGAGGTATGAGTTTAGTAAAGAATTACTACTTTTTTTAGCTAGGTCATCGTGCACATGCCTATCATCCCATCTACATGGAAGGCAGACAGGAAGATTGATACTTCAGTGCCATCCTGAGCAAAGATAATGTGAGACCCTATCTCAAAAAGAAAATTCAGGGCTGGTATGGCTCAGATGGTAGGGCACTTGCTTAACATGTGCAATGCCCCAGGTTCAATTCCCAGTAACACTGGGGGGAAAATAATTATTATCTTTTGAATAATAAATATCACTGGGAAACATGGGCGTTACCAACAATCAATCTGTCTCCCTAAATGGATTATCTATAAAGGCTGAAATTTCAGCTCAGGGTGTGAATGGGAATAAATGAAACACTTAAAAGCAGTTTGCAAAGGGGAGAAAACCAGTAGCTATTTAACATAGATCAGGAATTACTTGAATGGACTCAGCTCTGCTAATATTAGCATATGTTTATACAGTGCTCCAATTTCACTTGATTCTTCTAATCACTCTAACGTGGAAAAGCTGGGGACTAGAATGGAATCCACATGTGTTCAGTGGAATATTCCCCTCATTATACAGTCATAGGCTGCCACTTGGCTGCTAAAGTTCAGTTTGATATAAGGTAAAACAGCTTTGAAAAGGATGGAGCTGGCCACAATGTGGTGTGTGTGTGTCAAAGAATAAAAAAATAATAGTGGCATTTTCAAATGTTGCCATTAATACTACAATATATAACTGAAGTTAAAATTAAGATGAATGGCAATTTGATATGACAACTTACAAACCTCAATGTGGTTTTATTAATGCCAAATAATCTGAGCAAGACACATATATACAATTTATTAAAAACACACGAATACATTAAAATTTCACTATTTATACAGTCTAAATTCTAGCAACATATACAAATACTGAGTGACTACAGTACATGCCGAGGTAAGAAAAATACATTCTGGGAGATATAACTGACACCCATGCCATTTTTCACTTCCAATATGTATTTCAATACATGTTTTATTTCCTCCTTTCCCAGTGCCAAAAGAAAAAAAGAAAAGAAAGAATTAGGCACAAGTTGGATTAAATGAATGGGTGCCACAGTCAACCTAACAGGTATTTTAATAACTAGCCAACTCTTTATATTTTGCAGTTTAGGGACTTCAAGTTCAGAACCAAAAAGCAGAACTAACACGTAACTAATTTTTTAGGCAGAGCTTCATCACTTCTCTTAAGAGGGACTAAAAAACTTTCAGTGTCCCACACTATCTAGTTGTCTCATCAATCACGGTGTTTCTACAGGTTTTTTGCTCTCTAGGTGAGAATTTGGAGCCAAGGCAAAGAAGCTCAAGACTTATCACTGCCCAGTTTCGTAGCCACATTTGACTTAGATGAACTCACATTCTTCTCTCCCCTTGCTGAGTGAGGGGAGAAGGGAAGAGGCAAGAGTAATACATAAAGTCAAAATATTAATTCTTGTATAAATTCTCAACATGAACTATTTTCATCAGCAAATAAACCCATTGTTCAACACAAAGTGCAAATAGTGTAATGTGAACTTAAATAACTGAACTAGACCTGGCACATACAACAGGATCTATTTAGTTTTATATGATTTAATAAAATAAAACCAGAATTCACAATATCTTCTCTTTAACTCTGCTGGTTCCAAGGATCAAGTAACAGCCAAGTAAGTGTACTTTTATGAAACCTCTAATGGCCACACGTGGCAATCACTGATTCTTTTCTATAAATGCATTATTAGGAAAAAGGTTTAATCCAATCAACGACAGTGACTTAAGTGTTAGATATTTCAAGCAAAGAATAGAAATTCAAGGGAAATTTTGTCAACGATGGTTACTTTCACATTTTTAGTTGTTACTTGATTGTCTTCAAATCTGTATACATATCAGACACATAAATTTACTAAAAAACCAAAATAAAAAAAATCTCAAGTATGAAAGCTAATAGGAAAGTACAAAACCAGAATTTGAATTAGGCTCAGCTCTTCATCTGGAAAGTAAAAAATATAAAAATAGTAAAAACTAGATATTTTATTAAAATCATTGGTAGTTCAAAGACAGCACAGTGGTAATATGGATCATATCAATATCCATCATTTCAGAAAACATTTGCCTCATTTAAAAAAAAAAGTTCCAGAGAAAAGCAATCAGGTACACACAATTATACAAAATTAGCAAGCTTCTTTGGGAAAATGAAAAAGTTATCGAAAATGTCTCTCTTAAAGCCTCAAACAGGTATATGACTTGAAGAAAAGTATATTCTCTGTGAACTAAGGATGAATAAAAACAATAAAGCAATTTGGTTTACTCTGTTCCCACCTGAAAGGGGATAAATGCATTAATACATGTGCTTTACACATTCATACATGGTTTAATACAAGTTTAACTTCTGTGCTTTTTGTTTCAAATACTTTGAAACAAAATATGCATCAATTTTTCACTGAGTGAAATTGTGCCTCAAAGTTTGGGAAATCAAAAGCAAATGAAAATAAAAACAACAAAATCATACAAGGAAAAGGCAGGGAAGCTGCAGAAATAATTCTCTTTTTGAAGCAATCTTTTAGAATACTGATTACTTGAAGCAAGCAAAATGAAAATACTGTTCATTGCTATGCAAATTAAGTAAATTTGGCACCATCATAAGCTGCTGGCACAAGCCAAGAGAAATGAGTAGAGCCCAATGGGAAAGTACAATTTAACATTATGCCTAGAAACTAGGGTTTATGGATGAAGGAAATACCAAGATTTATTTGTTTATCAAATAAACATTTTCCTGCCAGTCTAAACATTTAAAGATGTTTTTTGCACTATAGCCTAATACAGTGCAGCTAATTTCTAATTTACCCTATCTGAAACCAGTTCTGGTCAGGTCACAAACAAGTGGTAACAGGGAAGTTGCTGGGACGCATCAAAAAACAATTTCATACTCTGGGATGCTATTACATCTGTTCCCCAGGTCTGATGTAAAGGACTATTCATGCCTCTCACCAGAGACAAAAGGCATAATCGCACTTTAATCAAGATACATGTTGGGTTTCTATTTCTTATGATAGTTTACTGAAGAAAACAGAAATTGAAAATGATTTTATTTGACTTTGACAGTCAAGAAAAATTTGTTTGTTTGTGTATATGTGTATAAAACCAATGAGGTCAAGTTATGGTTTCTTTTTTTTTGAAGATAATTGTGAAGCAGGGGATCTCCTAAACTGTAAATTGTTTCACTTCTGTTTTTACATAGAGAAGTGTACTTAAGGACATCAGAAGATCTGATTTAATGAGACTAAAAAAGTGAGCACTGCCTACTGAAAAAACTCCAACATTTTATAAACACAGAATACAGTTAGCCGTAAAGGGCCCAGAAGGAATGAGTAAGGATAAGACAATCAAGTGCTAAAATTCTTAAAGAGTGTTAGCAAGTGAAAAGTCACTCGCCCAACTCATGATAAGTCAGTTTCCCACCTATGGATCTTCCTAAGGGAAGACAGTTGTGTGTATGGTTGCAGTTGAACAATGCTTATATCAATAATTATTTTCAAAAAAAATCTTGAAAGCAATATAGGAATAAAAAGCATGATAGTACCTACCTTTCACAAAGGGAAAATTTCAAGCCATTAGATATTTCAAGAACAGTACCATGCATTATTGCCGATCAGGCTTATAGAATCATCTTGAGTTCATTAATGTACCTGCAGCATTGGTAATAAATACTCTCAGTGATTTTGAGTTTCTTTGAAGTGCATTATAGTGAGCTTCTTCTGTATTAAAATAGTGTTTTACAGTAGTAACAAACAGGATGTTTGAAATTTAACAGACAAACAGTAACTGTGCCACAGTAACACCTTTAAAGCAAGATGGCAAGATAAGTAGTTTCCTCTACCTTGGTCACCACATTTTCCCAACCACTTTTAGTGACAGATATGTAATACATTCTATATATTACTAACACTAATAATTAAAAAAAAAAAGGCCATGTGCTTTAAATCGACACTTTGTAAAAAAAGCAGCATCACCTTCAAAGGATTCCTTTAAAAACATCAGACCCCACCCCTTCCTGCTCCTGATACTTCCTGTGTACTCTGTGGCACCTGGTATACCAATTCATCTGGGGCAGCTGGACCTGACTTCCCACCTTTTGGGGTGTCATACTGGGCCTGGCCTGAAGAGCAGCTGTCAGTTCTGGAGAGAAGTGTATTATAAGTTCCCACTAGAGGGGGAGGTTGGTTCCCGGTAGCTTTGAAAGTGGACGTGGAGGGCAGACCAGCTGGGGCTGTGGGGTGCCCTGACATGTCCATGACAATGGGCGTTGCATACTCAGGCCCAGTGATGGGGAGAGGTTCAGCATAGGCATGGTACACGTCTTGCACAGGAGAGCTGTAAGGATCTAGATCTGCACAGCCTGCTTCTTTTCCTTCTTCTGGTTTAAAGGTAGATCTCTGATGAAGTGTACCAACAATTCCTCCTACAAGTGGCTGTGCATACTCTGCAGATATCACAAACACAGCAGAAATACGTAATTCAAGGTGGGCAGCTGCAGGTTACAGCAAAAGCAAACAGTTCTTTAGCACTGTTGTTGCTATCAACACAGACCTATGCATTTCCCACCTGTAAGAACCAACTTCAAAAACTGAAGATGTTACCTAGTATTTCACAGTAATAAACTAATATGCCAGAGAGCCTCATTCATGTAATTTTGCGTAAAAGGGTATATGTCCTTTAGATTTATAGACAGAAATATTTCATTACTGGAGTATTAGACTTGGAAATTTATGATATGTTTTTTCCTTTCCAAATATTAGGAAATGTTTAAAATCAATGTGTACTAGGATAATAGGACACTTGTAAGGCTCTGTTTTTCTGTTTCTCTTTCGTGCTCTCTTAAGCAACCCTGTTGTGTTTGTCCCCCCAAAACAAAACAAATGAAAACCCAGGTTTAAAGATACAATGCCCAGTCTTATGTCCCAATTTTGTGAACAGAATCTAAGACACAGAAATGAATCTCTGAAGGTCATCTTGTTTCTTAAAAGAAAAACATTCCTTCAGAAAATAGTTCATCTTTCACATATGAAAAAAGAAGATATAAATCCTAAGCCCTTCACAGCAAATATAGGCAGTTTCTCCCTCTCTCTGGGGTGAAGCCTGCTCATAGTTACCTGCAGAGTTAGTTTGAAGCACTGTGGTGACTTCTCTTGGACTCAAGTGATTAACTTCACTACTGCTGTAGCGAACTGGGGTTTCTTCATGTTCCACTGATTTGGCAGGGAGAAACTGCTTCATTCCTTTCCACCAACCTTCATTGTCATTGTAAGCCAAAAAGACCATTTGTGTAATAAATCTCTATATAAACTAGCCTTCATATTCAAGTTGGTTTTCTGCTTTGATAGACTACTCAATGAAAAGCAGAAATCTATCAAATGCATATGCAGAAGCAAAATACTCCTATTATATGCAGCCAGAGGTGGTTTGTAAATAAATTTTTCTCAAAAAATACTTTCCAAGGTTCCCCTTGAGATGTCAGCAGTACTGTGATCCACCTCACCCTTGCACATTTCTAATCTGCTCACAGCAGTGAACTCTTGTTCCAGAAGTGAGACTAGGACTGGGAGACTGGCAAGGGACCTCTGGTGTCACTTGCAATTCAGAAGATGACAACTCATCACCACAGAGATAGAAGACCTCACTGATTCCTAAACTGCTGCACTCCACTTGGTAAATAACTGTGGCCAAGTGACACACAAACTGTGTACAACGACCATAGTCCCTTGTTTCCGTCTCAGCAGTCACATGGTCACACTTTCTAGAAAGCTGATCTCAAGAGAAACTGACACATAGGAAAAACCACATAACTTTTCCAGAAGAAAAAAACAATGGCATGTGTTTTGAGAAATTTGCACATTCCATTTCATTACTTATTAGCTAAAAGAGATTTTGCAGAAGGTAAAAAATGGTTAAAAGAGAAGAGGAATGCCACTTTTCTAGCAATGGGGAGTACCCATGGGCCTGAGAACTATTTCCCTCTTTTACTATTGCCACTGTAGAGGAAAAAGAGATGCAAAGGACACATGAGTTACCTGCTCGATCCCAATAAGGTAAGTCATAGGTGCCTTCAGTTTTTTTCTTTCTGGAAAAATACAGGTGTGGGGGGGCAGTTAGCAAACACAGTGAATTCTCTGGTAAGAAACTTCTGAAACTGTAGCATAAACGCCAAAGTTAATAATTAGTCAAGAGTACACATTTCTAATTGCTGATCTGCCTTAGGGAGCCCTCTTCTTCATTTGACTTTCAATGCTGACACTTATAAATTCTGGTCTCTCATTAAAGTTACCGTGTCCACCTATTAATCCCTCAAAAAGTGATAAAGGAAAATAAAAAAGGCAAAGTCCATAGATTAAAAGTCCAAATCAAGTCAAAGATTCAGCCCTGACAGGCAGGCTATTATGATCAAATTATGTTAGGTCTGTTCTGGTTTCAAATGTAAATTATACAAATCTATTGGTTCAAAAAATTCTCAGAATAAAAACCATCTTCTTTTGGTTTTCTATTCTGCATTGTTCTTTTTTTCTTTGCCCCAGAGAAATTCAAAAGTGTCTCATACTGTTGACTGCACACATGCCATCCCCCCTTCTCTCCGCCCCACCTCACCATCCCAGCATAAGTTAGTGCTATCACTAATGGTGACAAAAGTGACGCTCCAGGCCTGGAAAGCAACAAAGCCTATGAAGAGGGTTATGAAGAGGGAAAAGCAATAAGTGCAACAAAGAAGTTCTACCCTGCCCAACCCTCAGAATTCTGATTTGTCCTCCCCAGGATAAATTTCTCCCTTATTAAGATTACTGTTTACCAAGAGTCTTTTATAAAGCAAAAAGCTGGCAAATGAAAGGACATCTTCTGGTTCAAGTGCATAAGTCTAATTTAACTAAAACTAGTGTTTTGCACTAATGAGCAGAAAGTATTCTAGTCAAGGAAAGAAGGTAAAAATAGCTATATGATTTGCTCAAGATCACAAATGTGGCTTTCATTAACAGCCCAAACCACTCATTTTTCCTACTAGAAAACATTTGTCTCCAGTTTAAGCCTAGTTTTCATTATTAATTTTAAAGGGGCCTCATTTTAAAAATCTAGCTGTATTTATATTTCATTTTTTCCAAATAAAGTAAAATGTAAATTTGTAGATGGTAGATCTTAAAGCTGTTAATCAAAACGACTGGAAAAGATGTAATATAATATTACAAATTAAAACTTCTATCATAAGATCAAATTTTAAAAAAATCAGTAATGTTTTGGAAGATACCCTATATGGCTAGGACAAAAATTTAATGGCATGACCCAGCAAAGATTGTACTATAAAGGATTTTATATAACAAGTGTGAAGTAACAAGGGTTCAGGTTATTTATTCATAAGGTCTTAAAATAGTGGTTAGTATGGATTAACTAGTCAGTAAGTTACAGCTGTTTTCATTATTCTCCTTGTCCCTATTTTCCTTAACTCCTTGTCATGAAGTTAGTCATCAGTGATTTCAAGGACATTCATAGTAGTAGCTCTAGCTCTGCAGTTCAGCCCTCTTGTCCTGAATACCAGACATGTGCAACACTCTCTTTTGGGAGTCTGAATGTCCAAGAATCCTTTAAATCCTTTAAATACCATCCCAAACTAGTGTCAGGACCCGACCACTGCCTCTCAATAACTCTACACCCCACACTTTCCCTCATGTTCTTGTACTCTCATCACAGTGGATTATGTTTTCATTAATTGCGGTAACAGCAGTGGGTCATAGCACAAACTGTGAAGCTTGATCTAAAATACCATTCTGCTACAAAGTAACTGGGTGACCTTGAGGAAGGTGTTTATGCTGGAGGTCATCATTACTATTATTGTTTAGTTCAGTGAATGTATCATACCCTCACCTCTGAACTTTCATAAAGCTCTTTCCCCTGCTCTTTCCTGCTCCTCCCCTGCTGCACCTGTACTTACTCACTGGCTCAGCTTTCCCAATACCAAGTCTAGAGTGCGTGTGCTTCCCACCGTCTCCCTGCAGCATGCACTCTGGAGGTGGTAATATGGTTGAGTTTTCTGCATTGTATTGTTTTGGTCTGTAAGCTTTGGGTTCACCATGGGACTCCATAGCATATGGCTCAGTGCTTGGCACAGGGTAGCAGCCAACTATTCAAATACTTGTTGAATGGCTAAAGAAATGAAATCATCCTCTTTCTCCACCAAACTTGTCCCTCTTGCTCTGTTAACTCATGATATCACTACTGGTCTAACTGCACAAGTCACAAACATTAGATCAGCCCAGTTCCCTCCTTCTGCCTCCTTAGCAGACAACTAACATACATCCTCTTGATGGTGCTCTTCTTCAACATCTCTTCTTCCTTCTATAGAATCACTGTGCTACATTTCTGCCTGACTCAATTAGTGTCCTAACTCATCTGGCTGCCTCTTCTGTCTCTCTCCTCTTGAATCCATCCAATGTACCCTTTGTGACTCCTGTTACTACCTTGGTTCATAATATCACCTGTCTGCTTAACACTCAATGATTCCCCCATCTATAGAATAAAATCTGAATTTTTCCCAGAAAGCCCTTCCTGATCTAGGCCTAGAGTGCATTTCTGTGGTTACCACTTAGGACTCTCCCATACCAGCCCCACAGGAGATTAAACACTATTTTGCCTGCATCTTTGCCTTCACTCAGGCAATTTTCTCATTATGGGCTATTCTCTACTGTGATGGCCTGAGTATTTGTGTCTCTCCAATATTCAGATGTTGAAATCCTAACTCAACAAGGTAATGGAATTATGAAGTGGGGCCTTTGGGAGGTGACAGTTAAAGGGATTAGTGCCCTTGTAAAAGAGGCCTTGAGGGAGCTTATTCTCTCATTGCCCTTCATGAGGACACAGCAAAAAGGCACTGTCTCTGAGCCAGAAAGCAGGCCCTCACTAGTCATTAAATCTGCCAGTACCTCAATCTTCCATTTCTCAAGACTCCAGAAGAGTGAGAAGTAAATTTTTGTGGTATACAAACCATCTGGTTTATGGTGTTTTCTTCTAATAGCCCAAGCAGACTGAGTTTCCACCTAGGAAACTCTAACTCCTTTAAGGCAAGACATGTAGATTCCCCCTTTCTATCCTAAAACCAAGATAAATTTCTTGGTTTTTCCCCAGCACTTCCTAAATAACTCATCAAACCACATAACATAGTTCCTTGTTTTGTATCATTCAACCCTACCAAATACTTTGGAGAAAGAAATCAATCTCATTCTTCCAAAAAAATATTACTAAGTTCCTATTATATGTCAGACATTGCTTGTATCAGTGTACAGATCCCAATGTATAACTAGAACTTAAAACAATAAAGATACTTTATAACTAAGTGTGGAATTGAATTTGCTAGTTTTTAACAAGAATAAAGGAAATGTAATTTTTATTCTAATGACTTATGCTAACTCTCACTGTCAAAGAGGTGATTTATTCTGTATACAGTTCATCTTCTACACTTAGATTTATTTCACATTGGTATTTCCCCAGGACCAGTCAAGTGAACTAGCTCTGTACTAACCTGTTTCTCCAATGCCAAGCACAAACTAATATAAGGATGAGAGTAGTGAGGACCATGACTAGCACAGGGACAAGAACTGCAGCCAATGCTACATCTAAAATTATAAAAGCAAAAACAAAACACGTTAATGCCAAAAACAGAAATCACGAGGGAAAAGATTGAAAGATTTAACCACATCACTGTTCAACACTTTCCTATCTCAAAAAATACTTTACACAATGTTTATGAAACAAGACTGGGCGTGAGATGTCTACTGCAGACACTTTCACAGATAAATGGACATTTGCTACACTATCCATTCCATTCCAAATCTGAAATTTGCATATATTTTAAATCACCAAGATAAAACTGAAAGTAAATGGTAAACTGGGTGAAAACATTTTCTGCAAATATTGGTAAGGGTTAATATAAAGTCAAAAGTAAATAATATAATAGGAAAATCAGTGATTAACTAGGAACACATTAAAAAATAAAGCACTAAACACTTTAGCTTTACTAGTAATCAAAGAAATATAAGTTAAAATAAGACACTATTTTTACTTATCAAACTGGCAAATATTTAAAAGAACAACTAATTGTTGGAATGCCAGGAAACAGGTGTTTTTTTATGGGAATAAAAATGGGTAATACCCTCTGATTGGCATTTTGGAGCAATGTGTATAAAAATCTATTACAGTAGACAATTCTACATCTAGAATTTAGTCATGGGCAGAAATTAAGACATTCCAAGACATATCTTTAAAGATGTTTACTTCTATTTCTTTGTTCATAACAGTAAAAACTGGAAGTAATCTGAAAAAGTAAATCATAGTATCTTCCTTACAGTAAACTGTAACATAGCAATTGAAAATGATATTACAACACAATAGTAAAATATGTTTACATATCAGCCGGAAACAATGTAGTGTCAAGAACAGAAAGCTATTAACAAGTCAGAATGATACATGCTGGAGTTGGCAGGGACTAAGAGATCATTTAATCCTTATCCCACACATAGGGAGTCCTGTGGTCAGATACAGAAAGTGGTCTGCCCTAGGTTATGTGGAACATTAGTTTCTTACTTTGGCCCTCAATCAACTCTTAGCCATGAGGATAAAAATGGCAGCAAGTGCTGATATTCACTGGGACTAAGAGACAGACACTATCAAGACTGACCTGTACCACCTTCTTTATTCCATGCAATGACTACATTCAAAAGAGGAAGAGGCTGATGATAGAGAAAAAAGAGAGAGAATAATAATAAAAAAACAACAGGTCTTGAGAAGTTGATGGGTTGGAACCAGGCTGAAGTATGGGTAATATAAGGAATCCCTTTATGAATGCAATGAATGGAAGGTATGGGTAAGTCTGCAGGCTCCTCAGAAAGGGAGTTTCCTTCCTATGGGTTATACTTTCTTTGTGAAGTTAGAAGGTAACTGTGAGTGAGTGAGGGTCTTTTGGTCAAGTGTTTGAAAAATATGGAGTGTTTAAAGTAACCTCATTTGAGAAGAAATAGAAGAACTCACTAGGGAAATCTGAAAGATTGCCAGCACACATCTGACTACGTTATGTTTCTTGCCTGATCTTTTTTTTCTGATGGTACTGAGGATCAAACCTAGGGCTTTGACAGTACTAGGCAAGTGCTCAACCACTGGGCCACATCTCTAGGCTTCTCTAAATTTTTGGGGACTGGAGGGAACAATCATGTTTAGATGGAAAGAATGACTGAATCAGAGGCTTTAAAATACCTGTATAGCTTCACCACCATCTCAAAAAGGAGCCAGAAGGTTAGAGCATCCTATTTGTTATTCTTTTTAAGTTTACAGGTACTTCACAACTAAAGTTCTGGAATAAGAGACTTAAGGATACTTTTATCTTTGAGATTTGGAGATTCTTTAATCAGATTTTTAAGAAAGCAGTATTTTTAAATGATTGTTCTGTTCTTCTATCCAGGCATGTGGATTGAGATTTTGCCTGCAAAATGGCAGGAAGTCTTTGGGAGATGCTAAGATCTCTTTCCTCTGAAAACTCTTCCTTCCCTCTGGCTTTTCGTTAAGCACAAGAATGAAATTAATCTGTAGAAATACCTCAGAAGACAGGGAAATTGGAGATTTATCTAACTCCAAGCAAATTTTTACAAAACAAGCCTAATTAAAGTTGTATGTAGCACAAGTTATTGTGGATGAATTGCTTTCTCCTTGCTGCACTTTCCTGAAAATGAGTTTGGCTTTTATCTGTCAGCAGTCGTAGTAATCCCACTGTGACACTGATGCCTCTTTTTCTGAATTCAACTGCAATTTTGTTTTTAAACAATTAGCCAAAAGAACTATGTCTTACCTATTTTGTTATCTTATTTATCATTAGCAACAATTGAAAGTAGATTCTAATATATTTGTACGCATGTGAAAAAAGTATAATTGTAAACATGTAAAAAACAAAGACCATAGGGTTTTTTTAAAATGAGTATGTTAATTCAGAGTCTTTTAAAAAAAGTATTAGTTTCTGTCCCACAAATCTGTTTTTGTTTTAGTTCTTTTGCCACCAAGTTCCCTCTCCAGCAAATTAAAACATAATCAGGAGCAAAAAAAGGTTGTTTCCTGCTATGATTTTAATAATTTCTAGAAATACTGAATTTCTAAACCCGAGATCTCAAATGTGTTTAGCTGGAAGAGGGAAAAATAATCGCAAGAGGAAGCCTATAAAACAGTAGCCATGTCTAAATATTTAATTTACAATTCTACATGGTACTAGAGAATAGAATGTAGATCAGTGCAGTTAGTCTTTTCCTGAAGAAGGGAAATTAACCTTTTTTTGGTATGTTTAAAAAATACTGTTGGAAGGAAAGAAACCAAGAGCTTAAGCTGGGTATGTTCCTGAAAACGTTAGTTGCAAACAAAACAAAACCCTACTATAATGACAGGTATTCACTGTTGCATTTTCATACCTTTGGTAACATTTGGAGTCACAGTAGTGTTTTTGATATCAGGAGTGGCAGTTGTTTGCTCTGTCTGTGCAGGAAATTCATTGCTACTTCGAGGTTGTAGTGGTTGAGTAAATTTTGGGGCACGACCTTAAAAACAGTTTTAAAAACTCTTTATTCTGTTACCTATACTAAGTTAAGATAAGGTTCTTTTTATGATGTTTCAAATATGTTTGTGGAAAATTATACCACAAATCCAGAAAATATCAAATTCTCACATTAAAAGTAGACATACCTTTGGCTACTTTGGGAGGAGCTGTGGTGTTTTTCAGGTCATTGCTGTTCCGAGGAGGTGGAGGTTGAGTAAGCTTTGGAGGACGGCCTTGAAAAATGGTTTAGAATAGTTTATATATATTGCTTTTAAAACTCAGATAAAAATAGTAATATTAAAAGCCCTCAACATTTCCCAAACTACTTAATTTTGCAGAGTGATTTTAAATCTCAGAGAGAATATATCAGAGAATAAATAGTATACTCTGCCTTAAATGTACAAATATATTGGATTTTTCACTTTTTAAATAACTAAATCATTTAAAATTAATCTTCTTTCTTAGGAAGGAGAATACTGGGGAGCAAAATGATACTGAAGTCTAAAACTACAATGGTGCCATCACAATTTGCCAAATTATTTATTCAATTCATTTAACAAGTATTTATGGAAAGCCAGCTAAGTCAGGCATGTTCTAATCTTCAGTGCTTATATTACAATACTTGAGACTTAATTAAAAATTTTCAAGACTGAGATTAGATTTGGAAAGCAATCTCAATGCATGATCTCAAGATAATGTTACTTCTTCCACTTGTAATCTTGGAAACCATTCTGATATATAACTTTATTAAATTACATTTTAATTTATTTTTCAAAATCCTTCAAAAAGATACTGGAATACTTAGGTTATTATAAACTACTGTACATGAGAATAGCAAAACTAGTTTAAGTTAATAATCTCTAGTAGCAAGGATTTTGGATGTTTCCAACACAAAGAAATGATATATGACTGAGGTGACCAATGTGCCAATTACCCTGATCTGATTTTTACACATTTTATACACATACTGAAATGTCATTCTGTACCCCACAGTTATTCATGATTACTATGTGTCAGTTAAAAATAAAAATATATTTAAAAAATTAACAATTCAGTGAAAATAACATGTCTAAAACACACTGCCTCTTTACCTTTAGGAATAAATTGACATCCAAGCAGTTCCATTTTCATGGCAATTTTCTGCTGCCATTGGGTAGGGTTCACTCTAATAAAACGCGCAATAATTGGTGGCAAAAAGTTATTACGTGCATCCTGGTGATAATCTTTGTTTCCTTGAAATATCTTTTAAAAAAACAACAAAAAAATTGGTACTTTACATGAAGAGAGGTCAGAGCTAAATTGCTCCACTTAGACTTGTTTCATGCTCTGTTCTGAGCCTTCAATGACATCTGTAAAGTGTGACAATAAGAAGTAACCTCTAAGAAAATAAATTATAATTTAGAAAAATGACTAAAAAGCTCCAAATTTTTCATCAAAAAATCATATACAAGCAAAACACTGAGCATGATAATCATTTTATGATGACTTATGAATTTAAGAAGAGTGCTAATTTAGTAATTTGGGAGAAGGATTTAATTACAGTGAAATAATATATTGTATTAATAACTTATTAACTCTTGTCCTGTAGAATTACCAATTACATAAGTGTACTGATTTTATTTTTAAAGTAAAAAGTGAACTAATCATACAAAGTCTTACAGAAAATACTTTGTGTGTTTAAAAAAAATTTTTTTTCAACAGTCTGAAAATGAACAAAGACTAGCAAATACATAATGGATATATACCACCATCTACTGGATAAACTGCATTATGACAGTTCCCATATTATAATCCCAATTTTCATTACTGTTACTATGTGAACAAAAAAGTAATTTTGAAAGACTGTTCCCATGCCTAATTTAATAATTTAGTTGCTACAAATGTATTATATAAATAATCGTCAGGTAAAAATGTGATTTTAAGTGACTATTTCACTCCCTGAACTATTTCAAGCAAATAATGATAGTATCTTAAACTGGATCAGCTTTTAATTATTTCTAAAATATTTTCACGTAATTAGCTCAGATGCTTTTCATAACAAAATAGTCAAGGGCACAGAAAACTAACTCAGCGTGTAAGTGAATCGCAGAGTAAGTCAGTGACTGGGTAGTGACTTCAATCTGACTCTTCTGACTCAAGTTCTTCCATAAACTAAAAAGTACCCTGCTTGTTCCCTCAGGCCAAATCAACCAGGTCCTTTTAAAAGAGCCACAATGAGTAGATTCTCACCTAAAATCAAAGTAATAAAGGTTTTTATCAGCTAAGATGAGAAGAGCAAATACATGTTTATCTCCCAAGTTATTTTCCAAATATTATGGCTATTTCTTCTTCACTGATACATATTGAATTAGATTGTAAAGTTCTAAAGAAATGTTATCTTTCATTTTTTTAAAAGGTTTGCTTTGAAGTTATAAAACAATCTCACACTTGGCAAGCTTCTCTGTATTCCTTAGGTATTACTCTGAAGTCAAAGGCAATTACTTACAGTTTTATTGTAGTAGTGACACATTAACTATAGTGAAACATCATTTTGGACAAAATCTATTGTTAAAGTCTTACTCTGTACTGTCATTTCAATTTTATAAACAACTTAAAAAGAGAAAGACATTATAAACACTGAGTAAAAACATTTGCCTAAGTTAACAAATGAGCATTTATTGAAAATTCCTGTGCACACAGAGGTTTGTAAGGTGTCACTAGGAAAAAAATAGAAATGAAAGTCAAAGTCTCCTTTCTCAAAGAACTTAAATTTTATTGGATATTACCAAACATAAATATGGCATAATATCAGAAAGCAGGTTGTAGGTATACATTAATCTCATTTTCTGAAAATAAAAACAAATTTGCTATCTGCCTGTATGTGTGATGATGCACATGTGCAGGCTTAGGAAAGGTATAAAACGAACACACCAATTAACCAAGAAGAGGGTACTGAGGGGGCAGATGGAAAAATGTAAGTGAAAGAAACGAATGTTGTTTCATGTGAAAGAAACGAATGTTGTTTCATGTAATTCAATGTAAAGATTTCTCCTCTGTCTATGAGCAGTAGTAACACTTATTCTTCAGCCTTAAACATGTGAAAAACTATGTAAAATGGACCACACAATAGTTCTTAGACATTGGACAATAGGCAGCACAGGACAACAGTCACTGAGAAAAGGTAAGGAAATGAGGTGACCTCTGCTCACCAGTACTCTTGGGGAGATTTCCAGGTCACAGTGTAGGAAGAGAGATCCCAAACAGATCCTGGTGAGGAAAGAAAGCTCAAATATCTTGAGGCCAATAAGCATCTAGAATTTGCAGGGAAGAACTGAGGACAGAAGATAGCTGGAGAGGGTCTGACAGAGAAAGCAAGACAGTGACAAACTTCTAGGATCCCTGTGGAATTTTCCTTTAATGCCAGATTCACAAAGACAAAGGTAATATATTTTCTTTCATATGTGAAAGATAGATTCAAAAGATAAACATACACAAATACAAGCCTGATCATATATATACATATATATATATACATGTATCCATATATCCATATATAAATGTTCCCAGCAGTCAGGCTGTTTGAAAAGACTAAGGGGAATAGGGAGAGGAAAAGAGAATGACAGAAAATGAGTAACACTGAAATATGTTGGATAGGATATAAGGAAAGGGTGTAGGAGGTGAATATGGTGGAAATATTATGTACTCATGTATGAAAATGGAAAAATGAGACCTGTTGAAACTATTCCAGGAGATGGGCATATAGGAGAATGATGGAGGGGGTGAATTCAACTATGATATATTGTAAATATGTGTGTAAATCTCACAGTGTATCCCCAGTAAAACAATAATATGATAATAAAAAAAATTTACAAAAAGAGAAATATATCCTACATCAGTGTAGGAAGAAGGCATAAGGAAATGCACTGAAATCTGTTGAGTAACAGGCATAAGAATAATAGAAGAGGTTAGACTAATTAAAGTACAATATATTCACAGGTGAAAGATCATGGCAAAATCTCTTTGAACACTGAACATATACTTAAACAATGAAGGATAGGAATGTCAATAGTACACTCCTGCTGGGGGAGTGTACTATTGGGAGGTGAAGGGAAAATGAAGAGGATAAATGAGGGTAAATATGGTCAATGTTCTTTATATATGTGTATGAAGATAGAACACTGAAACGTGTAAAAATCATTTTAAGTAAGAGGGAGAGGAATAAGGGGATGGTGGGATGAACCTAACTAAGGTACATTGAAAGCATACATGAAAATGTTACAATGGACCCCCTATTTTATATGCTAATAAAAATATTTTAAAAATTAAAAAAATATTCAGCTTCACGTAAATAAATAATCTGGGCCAGGAAAAAATTCACTAGGAGCCAAAGTATCACTAGAACAATTCTCACAGCTACACAGGTTTGGGAACATTTCACAATGCCAACACAAAGAATGGAGAAACCTCACAATACATGGGAAATTGAGTTGAGTACTAGACTAGTTCTGTCTCAGTGATAGGGGACAAATTAGAACTAAAGGTTGCTCAGGTCCTGCCTAACAAAACTTAAATGCAAACCCTGAAAAAAAACAAATTGCTTTTTATTAGCTTACCTGCATCACAGAAGAAAGCTCAAAAATATCTAAGAGAATAATAATGATAATAAAAACAAATACAGCACCAAGCAATGACATAATGAATCAGTATGAACCATATATAAACCAACAGTGGCTCATAATGTCTTCCACTTAATAAAAAATTGCCAGGCATGTAAAATATCAGCCATATATTCAATATAAAAGGACCCAGATATGACATACAGTAGAATTTGCAGATAAGGAGATTAAAAGAAATATTGTATGCTCCATATGTTTCAGAAACAGACAAAGTATGGACATGTAAACTACAGATGTAAAAGAAATTTTAAAAACCCTAAGCTTAAAATCTAGAGGTGAAAAATACAACATTAGAGATAGAAATACACTGGATGTGATCAACAGCAGATACAGTAGAGAAGAATAAATTAGTGAACTTGAAGACAAAGCAACAGAAATTTTCCAAACTAAATTATGAAGAGAAAAAAGATTTAAAAAGCAAAAACAAAGCACCAGTGAATTGTCTGATATCCTCAAGAACCATAATATTCATGAAACTGGAAGTGGGGAGGGAAAATATTTAAAGCAAAATGGCCTATAATTCTCTACATTTGATGTAAACCATAACTTATGAAGAAATATGAAAACTCCTTAAAACCACATCAGAATCAAACTCCTTAAAACAAATGATAAAGAAAATATTAATGCAGCTACAGAAATAAAGACTTATTACACATTTAGGAAGAAAGATAAGATGGATAAAAGAGTTCCCATGAAAACCAATGCAACCCAGAGAACAGAATAGCAACGTATTCAAAGTGTTTAAAGAAAAAGGTCAACCTACAATACTATAGCTAGTGAAATTATCCTTCAAAAATGAAGGAAAAAAGAAGTCTTTTTCAGAAATATAATTCAGTGCTATTGAAAGGTGTTACAATACCAACATGAATAATTCTTAAAATTTAATCAATTTAACTATATTCCACAAATATAATAAATATTTCACAAATAAACAGGGATGTGCCAGGGATAAAGAATTACCAAGTTTGGGGCATTAAATAGAAGATAGGTATGTAGACAGTTCTGCTATTTGCTTCAACAGGTAGAGGGTAACCAAAAATGAAGGAAGTTCATGTGATATCATCAACAGGAAGAGAAGAAAGAAGGCCTTGAATAGCAACAGAAGAGTTTAAATCTATAAAAATAGTAATAGGGAGCCCCAAGACTTTTAGAGAGAGATAAGAAAAATGGTAATTGAAGAAATATTACCAAATCATACATATGATACATAATTAAAAATATCATATAACCAAAACCAAACTCATTGAGAAGGTTCATTGAAAAAATATGCTCACAGTTTCAACTCTACATGGGAGGCACCTATATTCCTTTGGGACAGAAACACCATCATTTAAAGATTCTTTCGGTCATTGACTAGGAGTCTAAGAATGGGGTAAAACACCTGTGTGGAATCCACTTCTGCCTACTCTCCACACTTTATCATCTCTACAGTTCATTCAAGCATCTTCACAATCTTTTGATAACTAAAAATGCAGTGACACAAGTCAGTAAAGTACTTACTACACGATCACCAAAAGGAACCTACAATTTTCTAAACTAACATTACTTAAAACAACCAGAAGAGGGCAGTGTCAGCCAAATTGATATTTCACTTCTACATCTTTATGCAGGAGGGCCTTGGAGAATTCTGGCAAAGTTCCATTAAAAAAAAAAAGAAATTTTTAAAAATGCCTTGGAGATAATTTTACCTTATCCTGTTCCACACCAGGTTCTCTGTAAACAGTCCATTTCTGTCCATCATCACTGTACAGAATTCTATAGGCAGACACATAGTAATTGTGCTCCACCATGGTGGACCCAGTGGTTGTAATACCTGGGGAACGAAGAGTTGCTTTCATTAGTGCACAGGTCTGATTCCCGAAGTTCGCCCAGCGCGGAGCACAAACACCTGTGATGCGCTGTGCAGATGTTTCTGTCCATGGCTCATTTCCATTTCTAAGTGAAGTTTTCATCAAAATAGTTACTAACTTCTTGGCTTTATTCCCTTGCAGAGATAGGAAGAACTTTTCTATTTTGGCAGCTTGTGCTCATATCATTATAAAAGAACTTTTCTATTTTGGCAGCTTGTGCTCATATCATTATAAAAGAACTTTTCTATTTTGGCAGCTTGTGCTCATATCATTATAAAATACATTGCAATTCCTGACTAAGAATTACTTCCTGGGAATAAACAAAAATGATGACTGGTATTATTTTCAGTACCAAAGCAAAATAAATATTTTAACAAAATTACCTAAACCAATCTTGACCAATTATTCTGATCATTTGCTAAGTTCACATAATAATTTTATACTCAGTGTAAGTGGAACATTATTTACAGCACTTAAAATGGACTTTCCCTGAACATAAATTTCTCTGAATAAGAGGTTATTTAGATGTCTCAAGATAATGTTACTGAAGCTCTATTTTAAACAAATTTTATTACAATGAAAAAGAAAACACAGGTTGCTCCAAAGGCACTTGCACACATGTTTACTGCAGCACTATTCACAATAGCCAAGTTATGATAACAGCCAAGATGCCCCACTATCGATGAATGGATTAAGAAAACGTGGTATTTATACACAATGGAATACTACTCAGCCATGAAGAAGAATGAAATCTTATCATTTGCAAGTAAATGGATGGAACTGGAGAATATCATCCTGAGTGAGGTTAGCCAGGCCCAGAAGACCAAAAATCGTATGTTCTCCCTCATATACGGACTTTAGATCAAGGGCAAACACAACAAGGGGATTGGACTTTGATCACATGATGAGGTGAGAGCACAAAGGAGGTATGAGGACAGGCAAGAACCCCCCCCAAAAAAACCCGAGATAGCATTTGGAGTCCTCAATGCAAAGGAACTAATGCAGAAACTTTAAAGTGACAGAGGCCAATAAGAGAAGGGAACCAGGAACTAGAGAAAAAGTTAGTTTGAGAACAATTAATTTAGAATGTAACACATATGTACAAGAAAGTAATGTGAGTAAGCTCCCTGTATAGCTATCCTTATCTCAACTAGCAAAAACCCTTGTTCCTTCCTATTATTGCTTATACTCTCTCTTCAACAAAATTAGAGATAAGGGCAAAATAGTTTCTGCCTGGTAGAGGGGGGAAAGGGAGGGAGAAGGAGAGGGTGGGGAAAGGAAGCGGGGAGGGGAAAGGGGAGAGAAATGACCCAAACATTGTATGCACATATGAATAAAAGAAACAAAAAAAAGAAAAGAAAAGCTATTAGGAATTAAGTATGAGCTTTCCTTTCTCATGTTTCATAAAACTATCTCCAGTAATAATGTAAGTAAAGAAAACTTGAAATACAATGGTGAAAGCCCTTTGAACAGTGAATATACATGTAAAAAAATGAAGGCCAGGAATGTCAAACAGTTCCTGTTAAGAATGGGTTCTAGTGGGAAGTGGGGGAGTGAACACAGAGGGCGAAGGAGGGTAATATGGTCAGTGTACTTTGACAAGTATATATGGCTTATATACTTCTATGAAAACTGAACAATGAAACTTGTTGAAATTGTTTTAAGAATGGGAGGAGGAGGGTGAGGAAGAATGATGATAAGATGACTCTAACCAAGTACACTGTAAGTGTATATGGAAATGTCACAATGAAACCCTCCTGTACAACTAATATATGCTATTAAAAATGTCTTTAAAAATACTTGAAACCATCATATTTGCAGTCACTCAATTTTCTATGAAAATCTTAGATGTTACTGGATTTTTAAAATAAAATCAGTATTATCAGTTACTACAGAAAAGTATGTCTCTTAGCTGGGTGTGGTGGTTCATGCCTGCAATATCAGCTACTTAGAAGGTAGAGGCAAGAAAACCATGAGTTTGAGGCCAGCCCCAGCAAAGTTAGCGAGGCCCTATCTAAAAAAACAAAATAAAAACAAAAGGGTTGGGGGCATAGCTTAAGTGGTAGAGCACTGCTTAGCAAGTGTGAGATCCTGGGTTCAATCCTCAGTACTGGAAACAAAAAGAAAAAGAAAAGGAAAAACTAAAATTATGTCTCTTAACCTGTTATCTTCTTTTCCTTAGTCAGATCTATTTGTAACCACTGATATTCATCAGTGACAAAAGCAGCCCAAGGAGGTCCAGGTTTTCTTAGCCTGGCCTTTTCAGGTTTCCAGCTGTTCTCCTGCCCTGTGTAGTCAGTCCACTCCAGCACAGAGGATGCTGTTATTTGAGGATCAGCAATCACACCTGATTCCATCCCCAGTGTTCCATAACAACCTGAAACAAAGAAGAAAGTTAAATTGGTTTCCAGATGTAAATTCAAAATCTTTATAACCTGCTTAACTGTAAACTTCCTATTACACAACTAGGCAAGTGCTTCTTGGGCCTACATCTCTGTGTAGAAACTTACAAATGTACAGTTGTCACTTGGAATCTGTGGAGTGTGTCTGGATCCGAGACACACTCCACCCCCAGAGGGTACCAAAATCCACAGATGCTCAAGTTCCTTTACATGAAATAGTGTGGTATTGGCATATAACTACAAATACCTTCCTGTATACTTTAAATTATCTCTAGATTAGCTGTAATGCCTAATACAATATAAATGCTATGTAAATAGCTATTATACTGCATTGCTTTGGGACTAACAACATGAAAAAAAAAAGTCTTCAGTATAGATGCATTTTTTTTTTCTCTCAATCTGCAGATGTGGAAACCATGGGATGGAAGACCAAGTATATTCATTCACTAGCAGAACTGTTAGTTTATGGAAATACATTACTCTCTCTGGAACACCTACCAGTTAGCAGGTGGTTTAGTCATTCATACACTTCCTTCAGGCTTTTGCTAATATGTCACCTTCTCTATAGATGGCCTTCCCTGACCCTAAGTAAATCTTTAGACCAGTTCTGCATTTCCTATTCTTTTCTTGGGAATTTATCCATACATCTTTTTCCAGATTGTAAACAGTACATTATAAACAATAATTTATTCATTCATTTTTATTGTCACTCTTTCACTCTGCGAATGTAAGTTCCAGGAGGACAGGAGTTTATTTTGCTAACTGTTGTATCAGTAGCATAAGAATAGTGCCTGGCAAATAAAAAACAGCACTCAATAAATCATTCGTGTTGAATTCTTCTTTAGACAATTTCAAAAGTCATCTTCTCTAAGGGAAATCTCTTTGCTTATGAGATCATCTCCACATTAATATAGAATTCCAGTTTATTCTAATCATTGCATTATTATATATCTATTTACTCACAGTGGTGTTAGCACAGACAAATGAGAAAGTACAAGACAGCAGTAGGCACAAATGCCTGATAGTCAGTGTTCAAAAACTACTATCTGTTATACAAATTACAATGTTACAAAGTCCACAAAAGGCTTACCACTTGTCTTAAATGTAAAAAGACTTGTAGATAAGTGTCCCCTGAAAGAAAGAAAGGTTTTATTTTATTGTGACATTCATATAGCACATGACTTTCTCATGTTTACCTTAGTGAAACTTTCTCTTTTGATTTGCTCTCCCATTTAAAGAACTAAGATCTTATTGCTAAACATTAGACAACTGATATTGTTCTTAGGAAAAAAGTCTCATTTCTAAACAGAACAACTTTTGACATCAGCATAAACAACTTTCTCTATATGTCTAGCACCTGGTTTCACATGTCACCTTTAATATATACTTATTTTATTTCTTTTTCATGAAATAAATTGACTCATAAACCTTTTCTATGGCAACTGCTTTTAGTCAAAGTACATGAAAAGGTATATTCTCAGAGAATGAGGCTCATGTTTTGTGAGCAAACAGAAAAAGAAATAGCTATTAATGGGAAACTATACTTTTTCTGGGGAGTAGTAGGGGGAGATCACCATGTCTGAGAGTTGAGTTTCCATAAAGAATGCAGCACTACATAAGGATTTCAAAGGAACGGGCAGAATGGGTAAGCTGATGAGCATGTAGGGGTGAGACAGTGAGAAAGAAGTTCACCATGTGGCAGGTCTTAAGACCACATGGCATTTACCAGGGACCTGGAGGAATAAAATCGTCAGTGTCCACTCTTGCCCTTCACACAATGTTTAAATGGTTACAAAAGGGTATAGTATCACCGTATTTTTTAAAGTATTAAAGAGAGAATGCACATAAACAAATACTTCTTTCTAAGGGTAGAACAGGGGAAAGGAATGAAAAAATATATAAAATAGAGCAGAAGAAACCAAAAGAAAGAAAGGGAGATGAGTATGCAAGGGATGGACAAATGACAGCCAAGGAATGGACTCTTATATAGCAAGTAGACAAACAATGGTTTCTATATGATTAAAAAGCTGTGAATACAAAGAAACAACAAAAAACGTATGAGTCATGCAATCTTTTTTTTTTTTTTTTCTTTTGATGGGCTATGTAGTCAAAGCTGTCTTTAAACTCTCAATCCCCTGCCTCAGGTTCTCAAGTGCTAGATTACAGGCATGAGTCACCACACCTGACTAATAGGTGGAATTTTACAGAAAGAGGTTGCCCACTACTATTCTGTCTTGTCCTGGGTATGGATCATGCTCTTGTCTTCTAACTGAAATCTAGCCCAGGGCCTCTAAAAAGAATTTGGCTTTAGTTAGGTTTGGTATTGTCTGCAGGATGAAGTATATCTAAAAGGCAAGATTTATACCAAAAGACTGTTAAAACTGCACTCCATTTAACGGTTCAAGTTCTACTGCTTTGATGCCCAGTCTTATGTCTTATAAAACAGCAGAACACTGTAGAGATCATAAAAATGCAATCTTCAATATTTTCTTCAGATGATAGAGAGATTCATAATAAATGCAAATTTTATTTTATATTCAAAAAATTCTAATTACCTTCTGACCATTCTGGTTTGCATGAGCTAAAAGGAACAGAGTAGTTTTAACTCCCGATCTTTAAAATAAAGTAAGGATTTGGAAACAAACTTCTAGTCTTTCATTTTTGACTTTTCCAAAAATTAAGAAAGAAGAGACAAATAACCCTTCCAAATGAATACCTTTTTGAAGTAGAACAAGCTAAAATAACACACCACTGTCTGTACTCCATAAATGGGAGTACTTCTGCATTCATGTTACTTCATGAACACAATTAAGTAACATTGTTGAGATCTAGCTAATCCCTGCTCTCCATACCAGCATGCTTTCATAAATAGCATATATACTTACACCACAGACGTGACGTTGTTAGCCAGAGAACTTTCATAGTATGGGATGCCTTTGCTAATTACAACACTGATTTGACCGCCCAACACATTTGACACTACTCCTGCATGCACACCAGCCATGCACAGTGGTGAGGACTTGAAGGGAAAAAGAAAAGTTCTTAATTTTGCTTTGATAATTTATAAGCAAGACACTTCTACTTTCTCAAGAAACCAAATGACCTGGGAAGTTTACTCATAAACACAGATTATCAGTGCTATAACATAACAGATTTTTAGCAGAAGAAAAATAATAAAAATTAAGTATTACTAAAAGAATTCCTAAAAATAAAAAGATAAAGATATATGATAGATATGCCTCAACTCTTCTAGAGTTAAAAAAAGTTATATCACAACTTCAAAATTAGTCCATATCCAACTTACATCTCTATATCCATGAGGAATTGTTCCAGATATCTCAGCAAAAGGAAGCAGACATCCAGCTGGACAGTATTTACTGAGAAATGAAAATAAGTAAAAGGTTATATGACACTGTACTTTCTGGGGAAAAACACCCCCTCCCGATCACATATTCTTCATAATCTTATCATGCCGACAGTACCAAAACTTCTTTTCAGCCCTTACAGATTTTCTTCCATCTGGATTCACCTACACATTTACAAAACCTTCTTCATTTTCTATATACTACATTATTTTACTCCATAATGAATAGTAAACATGTTTCTATTGTAAAACCTATTTATCATATTCCATAGATTTATGTGAATGTCCATTATGTTGTCTGCCCAGTTTTGGGCTGTGCTAGACATTGGATTTACAAAGATCAACCAAACAAATATGGCCCCTGTCATCACTGAATTCACATTCCAGTAGTGGAAGAAGACCCAAATGAATAGAAAAGGCACTCTGAAGTAACTGGGAGAATTTAACTCAATATAATATATATATTGATATGTACCAGGTAGCATCCTAAGTGCTTCAGATAATCCACACAAATCCTATGTGGTAGGCACAATTATTATTCTGATTTCAGGATAAGGAATTGTAGAACGAGAAGATAGAAGATGGGCTCTAGATTCTATGCTCTTACACAGGACTCTACACAGCCTCAATTAGGGAACAGGACTTTGAGGAAGTGAGGCCTCAGAAGTGAGTTGAAGGATGTAGGTAGGAAATGTACATCAATCACTAGGAAGAGAATGGCGCTGAGGGAGGATGGCCTGGTGTGTCTCCAAGTATGGATGGCCAGTGCAGGTAGAAAGTTGTGAGCAAAAGGAAGGTTAAGGAGATGGGCAGAGATCTAACAGATCATGCAGAAGCCTTGTAGGCTATGGAAAGAAGTGTGGAATAGTATTTTTAAGAAAAACAGGAAGCCAGTAATGGATTTTGACATCTTACATGCATAATTAGATTCCTATTTTTTAAAAAGATTATTCTATCTCCTAGAAAAAAAATAGACTCTAAGGAGTCATGAGTGTAAGCTGGGACACGATAAGGAAAATAGTGCAGTAGGTCAGGACAGCTGTAATGGTTAATCTTGATAGTCAATTTGGGTGGATTGAGAAGTGCCTTCAAGATTAGTAAAACATACCTCTGAGTGTGTGTGTGAATACACTGAGTATTAACTAAGCAGGGAAACATCCATCCTAAATGTGGACAGTGCTATCCCATAGGCTGGGGCCCAGATGGAATAAAAGGTGAATAAGGAAAAAGCCAGCCAGTGCAGATATTTGCTCTCTGCCTCCTGGCCACTATGATGAGAGCTGCTCTTCTCTGCCATGGCCCTCCCAGCCATAATGGACTGAAACCTCTGAAGTCCTGAGCCAAAACGCATCCTTCTTTCCCTTTTAAGCTGTTTTTCTCAGGTATTTGTCACAGTGATGAAAAAATCTGTTTAATACAAGAGGGATGATAACAGCTTGGATGTGGATGGTGATGGATGATGGAGAGTCAGGGGAAGAGGGGGAGGCCAGTTGACCTGCTACCAAGTGACGCCAGGTTACCACTGTTGACCAGGACCTCTCAGTGTAGATGAGGGGACCCTTTCCACACAGGGAGAACCATTTTTGTAGACAAAATGAAGGTTCTTTGGGGGAATGGCAGCAAGTTGGCAGGAGGTTGTTGAGATTAGTTGTGAAATATGAGAATGATTTTTGCCAAGCAGAGGTAAATAAAGTGATTCCAGGCAATAACTCTGAGAGCTTAGAGCAGAGCTATAAATAACATGATGTACAGAGATGAGGCCCAAAAGCTATTCATGAAAGACATTTCAGACAAAGTGAAAGAAGCTGGACAACTTTTTATAATAATAAAAGAATCTCTCAACATTTAAAAAACTAGTGTATATTGATTGTACAGGAATTTCATTGTGACATTTCCACATACTAATATAATGTAATGTGATCAAATTCACTCTTTTAACTACTCTCTTTCCTTTCTCACTGCCCCATTTTTGTTTTTACAATTTTTTTTAATTTCTTTTATTCATATGTGCATACAATGTTTGGGTTATTTCTCCCCCTTTCCCTTCACCTCCCCCACCCCCTCACTTCCAGGCAGAAACTATTTTGCCCTTATCTCTAATTTTGTTGAAGAGAGAGTATAAGCAATAATAGGAAGGAACAAGGGTTTTTGCTAGTTGAGATAAGGACAGCTATACAGGGAGTTGACTCACATTGCTTTCCTGTACATGTGTGTTACCTTCTAAATTAATTCTTCTCGAACTAACCTTTTCTCTTGTTCCTGTTCCCCTTCTCCTATTGGCCTCTGTAACTTTAAAGTTTCTGCATTAGTTCCTCTGCATTGAGGACACCAAATGATACCTTGTTTTTGTTTTTGTTTTTGGGTGTCTTGCCTATTCTCATGTCTCCCTTGTGTGTTCTCGCTTTATCATGTGACCAAAGACCAATCCCCTTGCTGTGTTTTCCCTTGATCTAAAGTCCACATATGAGGGAGAACATATGATTTTTGGTCTTCTGGGCCAGGCTAACCTCGCTCAGGATGATGTTCTCCAGTTCCATCCATTTACTTGCAAATAATAAGATTTCATTCTTCTTCATGGCTGAGTAGAATTCCATTGTGTATAAACACCACATTTTCTTAATCCATTCATCAGTAGTGGGGCATCTTGGTTGTTTCCGTAACTTGGCTATTGTGAATAGTACTGTAATAAACATGGGTGTGCAGGTGCCTCTGGAATAACCTGTGTCACATTCCTTTGGGTATATTCCCAGGAGTGGGATTGCTGGATCATATGGCAGATCTATGTTTAGATTTTTAAGAAGTCTCCCAATTTTTTTCCAGAGTGGTTGTACTAGTTTGCGTTCCCACCAGCAGTGTATAAGAGTTCCTTTTTCACCACATCCTCGCCAGCAACTGTTGTTGATGGTGTTTTTGATGATGGCTATTCTAACAGGAGTGAGGTAGAATCTTAGTGTGATTTTGATTTGTATTTCCTTTATGGCTAGAGATGGTGAGCATTTTTTCATGTGTTTTTTGGCCATTTGAATTTCTTCTTTTGAGAAAGTTGTGTTTAGTTCACTTGTCATTATTGGTTCATTAATTTTGGGAGAGTTTAGTTTTTTGAGTTCCCTGTATATTCTGGTAATCAGTCCTTTGTCTGATGTGTAACTGGCAAGTATTTTCTCTCACTCTGTGAGTGGTCTCTTCAGTTTACAGATGATTTCTTTTGTTGAGCAGACACTTTTTACTTTTATGAAGTCCCCTTTGTCTATGCTTTCTATTAGTTGCTGAGCTGCTGGGGTTCTATTGAGGAAGTCTTTGCCTATACCTATTACTTTCAAAGTATTTCCTACTCTTTCGTGTACCAACTTTAGAGTTTGGGGTCTGATATTAAGGTCCTTGATCCATTTTGAGTTAATACTACTACAAAGTGATAAACATGGATCTAGTTTCAGTTTTTTGCTGACTGCTAACCAGTTTTCCCAACAGTTTTTGTTGAAGATGCTGTCTTTTCTCCATTGTATATTTTTAGCACCTTTGTCAAAAATAAGTTTATAGTTGTGTGGATTCATATCTGGGTCCTCTATTCTGTTCCACTGGACTTCATGTCTGTTTTTGTGCCATTACCATGCTGTTTTGATTGCTATTGCTTTGTAATATAATTTGAAGTTAGGTATTGTGATACCTCCAGCATTATTCTTTTTGCTGAGTACTGCCTTGGCTATTCATGGTCTCTTGTGTTTCCAAATGAACTTTAGGGTAGATTTTTTTTAATCTTTGATGAATGTCATTGGGATTTTGATGGGAACTGGATTAAACATGTAAGTTGCTTTTGGTAGTATAGCCATTTTTACTACGTTGATTCTACCAATCCATGAGCATGGGAGATTTCTCCACCTTCTATAGTCTTCCTCAATCTCCTTCTTCAGGGTTTTATAGTTTTCCTTGTAAAGGTCATTCACATCCTTTGTTAAGTTTACTCCTAGGTATTTGATTTTTTTTTTGAGGCTACTGGAACTGTTTTCATATATTCTTTCTCAGTTTGTTCATTATTAGGTATTTGAGTTTTTTTGAGGCTATTGTAAATGGAATTGTTTTCATATATTCTTTTCCAGTTTGTTTATTATTAGTGTATAGAAATGGTAATGACTTTTCTATGTTGATTTTATATCCTGCTACCTTGCTATGTCTGGTGTCTACAAGATTTTGGGTAGAGTTTTTTGGGTCTTTAAGGAATAGGATCACATTGTCTGCAAATAGGGATATTTTGACAGTTTCTTTACCTAGTTGTATTCCTTTTATTCCTTCTTCTTGCCTAATTGCTCTAGCTAGGAATTCCAGTACTATGTTGAATAGAAGTGGAGATAGTGGGCATCCTTGTCTCATTCCTGATTTTGGAGGGAATGGTTTCAGTTTTTCAACCATAATGTTGGCTATAGGTCTGTCATATATAGCTTTTATAATGTTGAGGTACTTTCCTTCTATTCTTAGTTTTTTTAGAGATTTTTATCATGAAATGGTGTTGCATCTTATCGAAGGCTTTTTCTGCATCTATTGAGATGATCAAGTGATTTTTGTCTTTGCTTCTGTTAATGTGCTGTATTACATTTATTGATTTGTGTATGTTGAACCAGCCCTGCATTCCTGGGATGAAGCCAACTTGGTCCTGGTGAATAATCTTTTTGATGTGTTGTTGGATCGGTTTGCCATTATTTTATTAAGGATTTTTGCTTCAATTTTCATTAAAGAGATTGACCTATAGTTTTCCTTTTTGCAGGTGTCTTTGCCTGGTTTTGGGATGAGTGTAATACTGGCTTCATAAAATGTGTTAGACAGTTTTCCTTCCCTTCCTATCTTGTGGAACAGTTTGCTATTCCTGCCTTTCTTTTTACAATTCTTAAAGTTTTTTTGGAGATAAGGTCTCACTATGTAGTCCAGGCTGGTCTTGAGTTCACAATCCTCCTGCTTTAGCCTCACAAGTGGTGGGATTATAGGGGTATACCACCAAGTACAGCTCTCAAGATTTTTAAAGGAAATGATCCCATATTAATTTTGTTTTTTAATCATTATTATTTTTTTGCAGGTTATGGAGACTGAACTCAGAGGCTCACGCTTGCTAGGCAGGTGCTCTACCACTTGAGCGCCTCTGCCAACCCCTTTTGCATTAGTTATTTTTGAGATAGGGTCTCACTTTGTGCCTAGGCTGGCCTTGACAGCTGTCCTATTTGTGCTTCCCCAAGTAGCTGAGATGACAGGTGAACACCACTGCCTCCAGCCACTGGTTGAAATGGGTTCTTGTGAACTTTCTCACAGGGTTGGCTTCAAACTACAATTGTCCTGATCTACGCCTCCCAAGTGGTAAGGATAATAGGCTTGAGTCACTGCACCCAGCTAGATACACATTTTGGAAAACCAACTTGTAGTGGTGTGAAAACCACTTTGCAGAAGAAAGTGATTAAAGGACAGAAGTGGGAAATAGATGAAAGGTTAGTCCTATTCTAGGCAAGAGGCAAAGGTATAAAGCAGAGTAGAAATGCTACTTTGAGTAAGAGCACTGAGAAATTATTGCAAACCCTAAACCAACCTTTTCCCTTTTTTGAAAACAAAAATAACTTTGTACTTTTATTAGCAGTTTTGCTAGATTTAAAGAGCAAGTAGGTCTATTTTTAAGGCATTTAAGTGTTATATTTTCATTTTGGAGATGATAAATGCTACAATTAAAGCAAAATTTAAACATGCAACTAAATAGCTTTAAACAATCTCTAATTTATTGGAGTCTTGAACAAAGATCATGTGTCATATCTTACTACTCTCTAATGTAAAAAATGAGGATGAAGAGAAACATTTAAGTGCACATGTGCACATACACACACACAAATCACAAATATGGTCCTACCTGAACTCAGGTTCCAAAAAATTGGATGCATTGTCCAAACAAGTAATTAGATCTAAAAAAATAAAAATAAAAATACTGATTCAATACACAGATTTATTACTCTTGCTAAAATACCAAGTATCAGAGAATCTCAAATTGTATTTATCTAAATTTCAAAATCTCTATGTACTAAAAACATTACAAATTTTTGTTAACCATGATTTCTCTGTCATTTGATAAGTCTTGATTTCTGGAGCTGTTTTTGCTTAATACTGTTTTCTATATTACCTCCTGAAGTTATGTATCATATATGTAGAATATACACACATAGGTAAGTAAAATTTGTATACCCTTAAAGTGGCTCATAAAACAAAATGAAAAAAATATTTCTTAGTTATTATTATAACTAAAAGTGATCCTTTGCTGTTTATGCTCAAGGTAAATAATAAAAAAAAGTAGGTGAGTTAATTCTGAGGCTACCTGCTACTCAACATCTGTCAATGGACAGGACCAACAGCATCAGCATCTTCTTCAGGGACCTTAGCAGATGCTGAACCTATCCATATAGACTTGGAGAATCTCTGGAGTGGAGGGATGGGGATCCAAAAAATCTGTCTTAACAAGATAACACCCAACTCCTGCCTTGTACCCATCTTGATTTCTTACTACTCTATCCCCCTTTTGGATTCCCCGGCACATGCTAATCTGCTTTTCCCTGAGCCTCAGCCTACCTGACAATTCTCTGAGATCTCAGCTTGACTATTGCTTCCTCACAGGAGCAGACAGAACTGGACTTCACAAGTAAAACCCCTTTAACACAGGAAGAGTTCTTAAAGCACTGAGTTTTGTTTGCCTTAATGACTGTTGTATATTATCAGAGTACCACGTGGTACGTAAGATTGATTTGTTGAACTACAGAGTCAAATAAGCCACCACTGTATAATGTCTAGTCCCTGGACAAGACGGAGGCTTTGTCCTCACCTTTATATTGCCAACAACAATTATACCATAAGGTACACAGGAGACTTTCCATGAGCATTTATTATGGAATCAGTGAAGGAATAAAAGTTTCTGATTGTTAGCAGGTTTGGTTAACCCAAAAGGAGAACTTGGAAGGAGACCCAAAGGCAATCACAAAAGTAAGTGATTTCACATAAAATGCTTGGCTGAAGAGCTATGTTAATGGAGAAGGAGGGGGATGGCAATACACTAATGCAGACAGCATCTCTCCTAGTATCCTTCCTTAGCATACTGTTGGTACATAAATATGTTACGTTAACAGCCCACAATTCTAAAGAAATTTTGCATTTATAATCATAAAAGAATATGCGTCATAAAAGAATATGAGCATAAGTTTGTTGTACTAATAGGAAAGTAGTGTTCTGAGACAACTGTATGGATCAGTATGCATATACCATAGGTATTTGAATGATAAAGTTAAATCTGTGTTTTAAAGGATGCATGCCTGTATAGGGGTTCACTGACTTGAAAAAAAACAGTCAAACAAACTGACTGTCAATCTGTACAGCGTCAATGAGAATCAATTTTTCACTTTTCTGCTCCACCAAAAGAATTTCCAATGTCTAAGATTAGAAGTTCAGCTTCTAAGATTAATAGCTTGCAATGGAAAGGTACCTGTGTGGTCCAACACAGCATTCAAGCTATAAGATAACTGCCAGCTGGCCCCATTACCTTCAGATCACATTCCAGAAAGCTAGTCATTGATGAATACATTTGATCAGAACAGGGCTTTAGCTATAAGTGAAGTGCTTAAACTCTACATTATGCCATGAAAATGTGACTAGCTGACATTGCTTTCAAATTCCAGTGGGGCTCAAAAGAGCTCCTCAGAGGAAAATAAGAATTCAAAATGGATAGTTCAAAGGAAGCCAAGAAGACTGAAGACAAGATAAGAAAGCCATGAGTTTTCTTTCTGACATTTACAATTCCATGAAGGAAAATAAACAACATCAGATTAAGCAGGGATTTTAGCAGTTATGTGTCCTTCTTAAAAGATTTTCCCAAGTAAACAGCCTTCCAGAAAATTATTGTGACTACAAGGATCCCATTTAATAAGAACACAGCCTGGGCAAGATTAATATAGCTCAAAAGAAACCATGGGCCTCAGAGACTTCTGACAGCATTGTATAAGAAGTTATCATAATCACTGGAATAGAATTAAATCCTCTAGATTCTAGAAATAAACTCAAATTTATAGTCAATTGAACTTTGACAAAGGTGTTCAGACAATTCAATGGGGCAGGTGAATGGGACAGTCTTTTAAACAAATGATGCTGGGACAACATGATATTCATATGTAAAAAAAAGAAAGAAATTGGTCAACTTCCTCACAACTACATATAAAAATCAACTCAAAGTGGCTGTAAGTTTAAGAACCAAAAGACTTTGAAAACTGTAAGACTTTTAGAAGAAAATATAGGAGTGAATCTTGATATTGGATTAAGCAGTACTTTCTCAGATATGATGAAAAGCACAGGCAACCAAGTAAAAATAGATAAACTGAAGTTCATCAAACTAAAAACTTTTATGCTCCCAAGACACTAGTGAGTAGAAAGAGGGTCCACAGAATGGTTGGAAATATTTCAAATCATACATCTGGATAAAGTTCTAAAATCAAAGACCTAGAATCAATATCAAACAATATTAACATATGACATTAAAAAGACAAATATATATCCACTTGTCAAATTCATAGTGGAATATTATTTGGCCATAAAAAGGAATGAAGTACTGATATATGCTAAAACATGGATGAATTCTTAAAATATACAAAGCCAGTCACAAAAGATTGCATATTAAATTACTCATATGAAATGTCCAGAACAAGCAAATCTACAGAGACAAAAAGAATATTAGTGGTTATCTAGGACTGGAGGGAATTAAAGAGTGAGAAATGGACTGCTTCTAATTATGGTGATGAAAATGTTCTAAAATTACAGGGATTTAAAAACTCTAAATAATTGAAAATCAGTGAATTGCATACTTTGAACATGAGAACTGTATGATATGTGAATTATCTGTCAATAAATTTGTTATTAAGCTTTAAAAACACAGAAAAAGAAGTTATCATAGAAGTAATAACCACTTGCTTTAAAATATAATCCATATACATGGATGCATAAAATAAAGCTTAGCAGAAGAGCCAGGAGTTCAATTGTTCATTTGTTCATCTATTCATTCAGCAAATATTTAATATGCATGCATTGTTGTTCTAGGCATGAGAAATAAAGAACAACCAGACAAAAATCCCTGAGTACAGCGAGTATACCTCCAAGTATGTGTGGGGGTGGTAAAAAGAAAATAGTATTGGTAAGAAAAATACATAGTGTATTGGAAGGTAAAAAGTACTTGAGAAAAAAGGAGAGGAAAGAAGTTAGGAGAAGTTAGGGACTTGAAAATTTTAAGTAATAAAGTGATCAGTTTTGATCTCATTGAAAAGCTGACATTTGAGTAAAAACTCTAAAATAGTTGAGGGAGTGAGGCATGAGGTATGAGGATCTGAAAATATGTAGTGAAAAATCACAAGGACCCTGTGTGGGCACATGCCTAGCATATTTTAGGCCAGAGTGAAAAAGGAGACAAGGAGAAGTAGTAAGGCAAGTAATGAGTCCTAGGGTATTGGCATAACCAGATAGTACATTTTTAAAAAATAAGATCACACTGACCACTAAATTGAGAGAAAAATGAAGGAGGAAAAGAAAGAAACAAAGAATAGTAAGGAATTTATTACCATAATTGAGGTAAAAGTTGATGGTAACTTGAACGAGAGAGGGAGCAGTGAAGCTTTTGAGTTGTAATCAGATTCTGACAAATGTACATAAAAATCCTGAAAAGAGATCTGTATAGGACTTTTTGGTTTGGGTTTTTGCTTGTTTTGACTTCAGTAATTTTAGTCAAATACTTAAAACATACAAAAGGCTGCAGAAAATTAAGTTACTGAACAAACACTAAACGTATGGTATGTTTCACCTGGGTGCTCCAGGACAAGAGGGAAGCAGAGTGCCTCAGAGGTTCCACTGAAGCCAGCTGTCACTCTCTTTCTTGTGTGATCCATAGGAGAATTAGCATCTTGTGTCCATTCTTCCTTAGCTTTAACAGTAAAAATCTAACTCAAATGGAATGTAATCAGAACTCCTACAAAAGAGCCCTCTGTCCTTTCCCATTATCTGCCTTCCACAACCCTGAGAGAAGGCAGCCTGGTAATGAGGAAGAGCATAAGAAGACACAAGACCAAAGGAAGCCAATAATCAACAATGGGATGAAAGATTTATTAGGACAGATATTTCTAAGACAGCTCCCAACTTAGCAATATTACCACCTGTCACAATTGATATACAAGTTTTTTTTTAAGTATGACTTTAAAGTTTTCCAACACATAGTAATTGCAAAAGCTGGAAAACATTATAAGTTCATGAAATATTTATTTAAACATGGACTTGTACATAATACTATGAAAATGATATTTTATATGTTAACAAATAAGTTAAAATACCATCATACTTAAGACATACAAAAATCTTTAGAAATATTTTGATTGACAACATGGGCTATTTCTGAGATTGCACAATTGTGAAACATACTTATTTAGGTTTTTTCCCCCAATTAATACTTTGCATTCTTCATTGAACTGAAACAACTCTTACTAGTATTAGTACCTATTACTTACCACAATACGACACTATGTTAGCCTCAAGGTGTAATTTTTGCACAACTAAAATCATTTAGTTTTGTGGTTTGTTTTTCTTTTCAGTATTTGCTTCCCACTTGCCACTTAAGCATATCCTTGGCCTGAAATCATTTATGTCTAAAAGAAGGAAACCTGAGTTTGTATTTATTCTAACTAAAAAAATGCATAAATTACTAAATTTCTAAATTACTATATTTATTTGCAGAAATGAGAAAACAGAAAAAAGCAAGACACTGTATACTGACAAATTACACCATTTTATTTACTCTAAAATTTCTTAGTCAACTTTCAAATGCCTGAAGGATGTATAGTCTTGCTTTAATAATTCATACCTTGTCAGCAACCTTGATGTGTGGGTATATGGACATGTCCTTTATTCAAATATTAGAGGATATGTGGTTATGCTGCTACATTCTTCTGACAATATTACTATGGAATCTAACACTAAAATGTACTTATTCTTCAGAGGTCAATTTTATTATACACCAACTATGCATATTCAATTATTTTTCTGTAAATGAAGACACATCTAATGAATATGGTAGAAATACTATGTTCACATGTATGTAAGTGGAAAAATTAGACCTATTGAAACTATTCCAGGAATGGGGGAAAGGGGATAAAAGAGAATGATGGAGAAAGTGAATTCAACTATGATATATTGTAAGAACTTTTGTAAATGCCACAATGTACCACCAGTACAATAATCAAAAAAAGGAATTTTTCCTACATTAAAAAAAGATATGAATGTAAACTGAAACTTCATTCCCATGAACTTATAAAAATAATAATCTCTGTGTTTTAAAATGTTTGCCAGATACAATAACAAAAATTTGTAACACAGCATAAAAATTACAAATAGAAACCTGGCTAACCACAGTACTGGAAATAAAACAAATTCTATAAAATTACTCTATAGTAATACAACAACCTAAGGAACTCATACTCTGTTTTCAGAACCAAAAACATTCCACATAAGGAAAAAAATAACAAGTTAAATTTGAACTCTATTAAGAAAGAGTTCTCTATTCTCCTTTCTGTTTCATTTAAAAGTTTATATACTCTGCTGTTAAGATGGAAGAAATGGAAAATATTTGCAAAAAATGTGGATAAAAAATATAGCAGTCAGAATACTTTTATACCATTGTGGTTAACTCTAAAAATTGTTTATCACAGCAACAACTTTGGCAAGTAGGGATATTTTTCAGGCTTACCTGGTTCTCAAATCTTAGGCACAAGACACACTATTTTCAAATTCTATGGTGTGTTAGGCAATGAACGAAATAGTGTTTATAAATGCCAATTAGGAAGAATGTTAATATCTACATTGGATCATTTTGTGTCACAGAAAATTTTAAACTATTATTTTCTTTCAGAAAAATAAAGGCAAAAGTAAAAGTGGTCAATACAAAATTCTGGTTCAGTGAAATCTAAGGTAATGTGATGATTCCCTCTTTTACAAAAAGAATACAGGTTTGCCACTTTCTAATCATGCTTGTACACACATACACACACAAGACCTCTTAGTTCAATCATCTCTTATCTGGTCTCTTCTAACAGCCTCTTTACTGCCCTTCCTACATCTACTTTTACTTCTGTTTGACCTACTCTTCATAGAATAAGGAAGATTCTAAAAACAAACAAAAACATAATGCTAGTCACATCACCACTTTGCTCTACCAACTTCCATGCATTCTTAGCAAAAAGTTCCAACACTTACACTTTTTAGAAATTATTCTACTTCTAAATATTTCTAGAAATTATTCTCTGAATAATGAGACCCACTCACTCCATTTCAGGTACACTGGCCTTGTTTCCAATTCCCCTATAATTCATTCCCATCACCAGGCCCTGTACCTACTGTTCTCTCATTAGAATGTTCCTTCTTGTCTGGCTGGAATCTCCCAATTAATCCTTCACTTCTAAGCTAAAAGGACTTCCTTGGAAAAAGTGCTGCTCTTGGTCATAACTGCAACTAACTGACTATGTGTTTAATGCCTTTGTCCAAACCAGTACTGTAAACCCCACACAGGCATGATTATGTCTATCTTATTTACTGCTGTTTCTCTAGTACTAAGCATAAAGCAGAAAATAGAAGTGAATATAATTTTTAAACAGGCTTTTGCACAAAATAATGAACATTAGTCTATCTTGGATAAAACAGAGACTCTATCAACAACACATACCATATAACACATCTTTGTGGGAGTTTGCAGCAAATGAAGCAACTATCAAAGCAAGATTGTTCACACTCTTTTATTCCCAAATACTATAAATCTTCAATTAGACTGCTAAACTAGGGATATGTAGTAATGGTCCTTGAAAATATTTATGGAATTCATTGAAGCAGCTAAGTTTCCTGGGTGGAAACAAACTAAGCATGTCAACCAAAGGCAACCAGCCCCTGAATGAATGAGTCATTATAAGAAATCATGACTGAAAGGCCACCCAAGTAGTAAGAAATTCAACCAATGTTCTCTAGAATACAGAATAGCCAATTCACTTCGATGAAGTAAATGCTTGATGGATGGGACAGGAGGTGTAAAAAAATATAACTTCAAGTATCAATATATAACTTCAAGTGAAATGAGAATGTCCCAAGATGATTGTGACTTTGGAAAGTGTTAACTATCAAGAAGTTTCTAAGGTAGATATTTAAACAAAACAAAACAAAACATCTGGAGGCTAAGAATCATCTGAAACAGCAACACAACTATCTGAAATTTGCAACAGATTTTTTTTTTTTTTTTTTTGGTGGTTCTGAGCTTGAACATAGGGCTTTACACTAATTGGGCAGGTACTCTACCATTAGAGTTAACTCTTTAAGGAATCTCAATAAAGGACATTCAAGTTTCTGTGAGTAAAAAGTCTCCTGATTTAAATATCTAATGTAAGAATTTATTTATTTATTTTTGGTTTTTTTGGAGGTACTGGGGTTTGAACTCAGTGTCTTGTGTTTGCTAGGCAGGTGCTGTACCACTTGAGCCATACCTCCAGCCCTAAGAATGTATTTTAAATAAAAAAAAAGAGGATCCTTTTTTCTGGAAGCCTTCAACTCAATAAATGACAAGGTCCTCTCACTTTATCAGTCTAAGACTTTCAAGGAATAAAACTGAAAGGATGGTAATGTGTTACCACCCTACTCTGTGTTCTTTGCATTACTCATTTCTTTGATGGCTGGGGTGGGGAAAATGCATATGCTTGTTTAGTGGTGCATGGGAGCAGATACCATTATGTGTACCAACCGTGTTGTGTACCTACTGACACTATACATGTACGACTAGATTTAGTCCTCACAGCTAACCATTCATAGATAGGATCCAAGGAGGTGAAGTGACTGCTAAAAATAAGAAGGCTAGCATGTGGCAGACTCAAGTTTTCCATTGTCACCATTCTGAGATAGGATCTCACAATACAGCCCAGGCTGGCTTCAAATTTGTGATTCCCTTGCCTCAGCTTTCTGAGTGCTGGGATTATAGATGTGCACTACCACACCTAGCCAGAGGATGGTTTTCATTCCAGGACTACCTGGTATCCTTTCCACAACATCAATCTGGCTTAGTTTTCCAGGCTCTATCAAAAACATTAATTATTCAGTAAGTACAATGTTCCTAGCTCTCCTCTTTCCATAATTTCATCAAATGACTTCTCTTTCTCATTCTCTCTGGGATTTTATTAGCTTGACACTTTGTTCTATAGCTTATAAACTAAGGAAAGGCAGAGCCCTCTCCTCTATCATGTTGATAATGGAATTTTTAATGAGACGTAGTAGTGTTTTATCTTAAACCTACCACAGCAGAAAAGGAAAAGCTTGCTTTGCCCTGTTGTTCCCAATATTCAACATTCTCACACCTAGCAGACTCTGGATAATTTCTTTAGTTTTACAATATAAAGTAAAAGCTAATTTTTAACTTTAAATACTCAGTTAATTCATTGTTGAATATAAAAATAATCTATTTTTAATGACTGCTTTTATTGGATCTATTTTTTATTTGGATGTACCATAGTACTACCAACATTTTTTTTTTTTTTTGAGGTGCTAGGGTTTTAACTAAGAACTTCATGCTTTCTAGGCAGGTGTTCTACCACTTCAGCCATGTCACCAGTCCTTTTTTGCTTTAGTTATTTTTTGGACAGGATCTTGCATTTGCCTGGGGTTGGCCTCAGACTATGATTCTCCCACTTACCTATCTATGACATCCAGCATAGCTGGGATTATGGTCATGTGCCATTACACCTGGCATATTTATTGAGATGAGGATCTCATTAAATTTTACCTGGCAGCAACACTTCTTTAACTTTCTTATCACAGTATCCCTAATAACAGAGGGAATACAAGCCACAGCATCCAAAACACAAGGGATTTCACTTAGGTTTTGTAGTTTATTTTAGAGACCCAGACAAATTTTGGATTCTTTTATACTTAATATCTTTGCTTTTAATTTCCAACCTCTCTTCAGATCCTAAACTTTAACAATTTAGTAAATATTTCTTATTTATTTTTGTACTGTTTAGACTTCCCAGGGTACTTCTGGTGGTATGAGGGCTCTTCTTTGACAACAATAGAAATATGGTCTTTTACACATAATTGAAATGATAAACTATGATAAAACTTTAAATTGATGTGGTACATTTCAAGATTTTTAAAAAATTACTATAGTTTGTGTTCCAATCCTAAAAAAGTGAAAAATTATTATTTTCTCTAAGGAAAAGTAAGAATATGGATTTTATGTAAAAGTTAGTACAATTAATTTGTGGAATTCTGAAACCAATTTAATTTTGTCAAATTTATAAGTGCATTATTAAGTGTCCTGACTTTCTGCCTTATTCCATGTCAAATTTGCTCTATTCCAATCTCAGATAATAGGTAGCTGAAAAACAATTTTATTTTGTTGTCAGAAATTGCAAAATGTGGGATCCACTGTGTAAGATGAAAGTTACCTTGCTTATTTATAGTTGAGTAGGAAGCCAAAAATCCTCGTCCAGAAACATGGATTCCACTCATGAACAGCACTGTCATTTCGTTGCTTTTTGATTCAATTGAGTGGTTTATTTGCAACCCCAGACCACAGTATTTCCCTGGGAATGAAAGAAGCACATATCTGGTATGACTCCCATAAAGTCAATGTACATAACAGAATGAGAATAATATAACAAACTTGATATTAAATTAGCAAAAAATAAATATGTTGTTTAATAATTTAAAATCATATTATTCTGGAGAAAAAAATAAATGCCAAGTAAAAACCATTTAAATGATTCAAAAGAAAAAACAATACAGGTATCATTGACCTTATGATGACTCTATTTCCTATAAAAAAATCTGTACTGTTTGAAACAATAAGAACTTTTAAAAATTAACTTAAGGCATTTCATGCATGCAGGTAGTCACAAATTATCAATCTGTAGCACATGCTTACCTCAGGACCTCCCAGATTTTTAGCCCTAGGGCACCTCTTAAAACTTCTTTTGGCCTACTCAATTTTATTTCTGAGGACTGTCAGATTTCTGTTCAACCCTATTAGGTGATCATGTCTATTTTCATGGCTTTAACATGGTCTGACAACTTACAAACTTAAACTTCTACCAACAGCCTTTCCCTTGAATTTTAAATACATTATATCTAACTACCTAATTTCTAGCCACCAGTATATAAAAGATATGTAAAAAATGCCATATGCCTTTGTGTACAGACCTAAGTACACAAAGACAAAAGAGAACAGAAAAAAGAATTAAAGACATCTACCAACAAGTAATAAAAATGCATTTCATAATGTAGTTGGTAACTTCTCTAACACATCCTCAAACAATTCTAAAAACTGCATTAAAGTGTGGCAAGATCACTTGAATAAGACCAATGCGGAATTTGAGTGACACCATTCATCATTAGGGAAATGAATATAATTACAATGATGTACCAGTAGATACACAACAGAATGACTATAATCAAAAAGACTGACACTAAGTCAAGCATTAGGGATGATGTGGAGATTATACACATATGGCAGGAATATAAAATGATAGAAATTTTTGAAACAGGCAGTTTCTAAAAGTGTTAAACATACACAGCCCAGTAATTCACTTCCAGTTATTCACCCAAGAGGAAAGAAAATATGTCCATAGAAAGACTATGCAAATAGTAATAACATTATTCATATATACAACAAAGAGAAACAATTTGATTTAATCAATGAGGTGACAGATAAACAAATCATTGACACTGGAATCCTACTCCACAATACAAAGGAACAAACTACTTATGCTCATAACAACATGGATCAATCTCAAAATCATATGATGCTTCTGGAAAAGGCAAACAAAACACGAGATGAGAGCAGATCAGTGGCTGCCTTGGACTGGGGATAAAGAGAGGAACTAACTCCAAATGGGCACTCAGGAACTTTTTGATGTGGTGTAAAATTTCCAAACCTAGATTTGCAGTGATGTTTGCACAGCTGTATACATTTACTCAAAGTTATGTGGTGTGTAAATTATACCTCAATAAAGCTTATAAAAGAAATATAAACACTGAAATAATTTTTATAGCGAGAAGTTTATTAATGAATGTCACTATTTCATGCTAAAGAAAAAAGTAATAGAGTTAGATGCAGTTAGAGCTGAGAAACATGTGGCGATTAATTCCAAATACCTCATTCAAGAGATGAAAAAAATGAAAATCATATATATAAGTGGATTGTGCTACTAGTTAGAGGTGATATCAGTCTAGAAGTATATACTTGTTATAGAATGAATGCTGTTTCCTCTCCAAATTCTTACATTGAAAACTCTAGCCCCAATGTGACAGTATATGGAAATGGAAAGTTTGGAAAGAATGAGATCATAAGGGTGGAATTCTCATGATGAGATTTTATCTTTACAAGAACCCAAAAAGTTAATTCCTCTCTTCACTCTCCCTCATGTAAAGACACAAGGGAAGATCACCAAAGATAAACAAGGAGGAAGGTCTCACCAGACACCGAATTTTTGCTGGCACTTTATTCTCAGACTTCCAGCTTCCGGAACTATGAGAAATTGTTTGATGTTTAAGCAATTCAGTCTCTGGTCTTTTTGTTATAATAGCACAATCTGAGAAAATTCTCTATCATGTCCCATGCTTTTTTCCTTGCACATTCCACTCACTTACCAGCAATGAAGTTGGTGATGGTTCCCAACGGTAGTACTCAAGAACTCCAGGGCCACAGTGGTCCACTTGCTCCCTCCTTTCCACAGCACCAACAACCTTTTTGCATTTTCCCTCATCATGCCATCAATAGTTCCATCTTTAACTATGTTAGTAAGTATTTCACCTTGTCTTTGGTATAAACTACTGAAGCATATTACAACACTACCTTTGTCCTTAACTGTATTATTGTTAAATCTATGCCACCTTTACTCTAGCTATTTGTAAAGACTGGCCTTATTCTATCCAGTCTGCTCTAAAGCCATTTCTAATTGGGTCAATATTTCTAAGATTACACATAAGAACTGTGAAATTAAGCTGGAAGTTTTTTTGGATTTATTTATTTTTATTATTGCTGTATTTGGGATACACTGTGACATTTACAAAAGTTCTTACAATATATCATAGTTGAATTCACCCCCTCCATCATTTTTTTTTATCGTTGTGTTGGGTGGGGGTACACTGTAGCATTTATAAAAGTTCTTACAATGTATCAAATACATCATACTTGAACTCACCTCCTCCACAGGATCTCCTTTTATCCCCCACACACCCCCATTCCTGGAATAGTTTCACAGGTATCATTTTTGCATTTACATACATGTATACACAGTTTTTGTACCTTATTCATCCTCTTATCCCTTTTCCCCACCAGATCCCACATCCAACTGGTACCATTCTCCCTCCCTGGGTAGGACCTGTTCTGCCCTCCTGTTCTCCAATTTTGAAGAAAAAGGAAGGAAAAAAATGGCATTTTTGCTTATTTGTGATAAAGGCAGCTACACAGGAGTTTCCTTGTGATATTTCCCTTACCTATGTATCATAACCCCAATTAGTGTATCTCCTCTATATTTATTCATTCTACCTTAGTCCATTTCTTATAGTGGCTTCACCCTCTTTACGAATTCTGTATTCTTTCTTGTATAGGGAGTATATCATCCATATTCATCCTTTTAGTTTCCTTCTTTTACGTTACCCCTCTCATATGTGACCTCTCCTTAGTGCAATCAGTTTTTCATAATATTGCTGTATTTGTATTAGGTCTATACTCCAAATATGAGAGAAAACATGCAGATATTGGCCTGAGTCTGGCTAATTTCACTTAAGATGATGTTCTCCAGCTACATCCATTTACCTGCAAATGACAAAATTTCATCCTTCTTTGTGGCTGAGTAAAATTCCAGTGTATATAAATACCACATTTTCTTAATTCATTCATCAGTAATGGGACATCTTGGCTATTTCCATAGTTTAGCTATTGTGAATATTGCTGCAAACATGGGTATACAGGTACCTTTGTTTAAGCTGACTCACATTCCTCGGGTACATCCATAGGAGTGGTATTGTTGCATCCATAGGAGTGGTATTGTTGGATCATAGGGAGTTCTATTTTTGTTTTTTGAGGAGCCTCCATACTGTTTTCCATAGTGATTATACTAATTTACATTCCCACCAGCAGTGTGTGAGGGTTCCTTTTTCCCCACATCCTTGCCAACATTTGTTGTTGTTTCTGTTCTTGATGATAGCTATTCTAACAAGAGTGAGGTGGAATCTTAATGAGGTTTTGATTTGAGTTTCCCATATGGCCAGGGATAGTGAGCATTTTTCAGTCATTTGGACTTCTTCCCTTGAAAAGGCTCTGTTCAGTCCTTTTGCCCATTTCTTCACTGGGACATTGATTTTTTCGGGAGTTTAGTTTTTGGGCTCCCTGTGTATTCTGGTTATCAGTCCCTTGTCTGATATATAGCTGGAAAAGATTTTCTCCCATTCTATAGGCAGCCTCTTCAATTTAGAAACCACGTCTTTTGCTGTACAGAAGCTTTTTACTTTCATACAGTCCCATTTGTCAATCCTTTCTCTTAGTTGCAGAGCCATTTGAGTTCTACTGAGGAAGTCATTGCCTCTAATATATTCCCTGCTCTTTCCTGAACCAGCTTCAGGTCTTATATTAAGGCCCTTAATCCACTTTGAGTTGATACTTGTAAATGGTGACAAACATAGATCAAGTTTCAGTTTTCTGCAGGAAGATACCCAGTTTTCCCAGCAATATTTGTTGAAGAGGCTGTCTTTTCTCCTTCGCTAGGCATAGTTGCATGGATTCATATCTGGGTCTTCTAAGCTGTTCCATTGGCCCTCATATCTGTTTTTGTGCCATTACTATGCTGTTTTTATTGCTGTGGCTTTGTAGTACAGTTTGTAGTCAGGTATTGTAATACCTCTAGTGTTGCTCTTTTTGCTCAGTGTTGCTTTGGTTATTTGCAGTATTTTGTGCATCTAAATGAACTTTAGAGTTGATTTTTCAATCTTTGTGATGAATGTCATTGGGATTTTGATGGGAATTGCATTGAACATGTACATTGCTTTTGGTAGTATAGCCATTTCCCTATGTTGATTCTACCAATCCATGAGCATGGGAGATCTCTCTACCTTCTGTAGTCTTCCTCAATCTCTTTCTTCAGGGGTTTATAGTTTTCCTTGTAGAGATCATTCGCCTCCTTTATTAAGTTTACTCCTAGGTATTTGATGTTTTTTGAGGCTATTGTAAATGGAAATGTTCTGTCCATGATGTTCTTCTTCACCATGGCCCTGAAACAATGGAGCCAGCTGAAGATGGACTGAAACCTCTGATTCTGTGACCCAAGGTAAATCTTTCCTCCTTTTATATTATCTCTTTCAGGTATCTGTTACAACAGTGAAAAACTGACTAGCACAGTTACATTATGTAAATATTTACATAAGCCACTGAACTCTTCTAAAAGTGAATAGTTTCACCTAGCATCCTCAGCACTGGCTGGTTTCGTCATATAAGGATCTAAGTGCATCTGACTTTATTATAAAACTTCATAAGGTGTTCAATACAAATTTAGATACTTTTAAGCACAAATGAAAAAAGATATTT